CTTACTCTGTTTTATAACTGTTCAGAATGTGATTATATGTTTCCTAAGAAGAACTCATTAAACCAACACAAATGGGATAAACATGGTGTACTGGAAGATGAAGGAGAGGATGAGGAAGATGATGAGACCACTATTGAGTTTCATTGCCCAATGTGTTCATTCACTACAAATAATAAAAAGCATTATGAGCAACATTCCACCAACAAACACCCTGGTAATTTCTTTAATTGCACATACCAAAATTGCAATTATCAAACTAAACTGTTTTGGAGTTTAACTCAACATACTGTTGATAAACACCTTTCGGATACATTTTTAAGTTATGAGTGCTATGAATGTGAGGACTCGTTTAATCAAGTACATTCTTTAATTCAGCATCTGCGTGACAAACACTCAATTGTTGACACTTGCAGTCTCTGCAATACCTATGAATATGATTTATCAGATCACATTTCGTCTATACCAGACCATTCTTTTGATGTTTTTTCATGTAGAATATGTGACGAAGAATATGAAGATAAAGCTGAGTTGGTTGATCATCTATCAGATAATCATGTTAATATTAACCAATTGTTAAGGAAACTATGTTATGGTAATTAATTTAAATTTTGTTTTAACATGCTGCTTAACGATAGAGAGTTTATTAAATTTTGATAAAAATTTATTAGAATAGACAATCTTAACTGGTTATATGTATGTATATATATATATATATATATATATAATATATATATATATATATATATATATATATATATATATATATATATGTAAACATTTGTATTATAATTTAATTACATCACAATTTAATGTTCTTATCAGCTTCTACACTATATTTTAACTTATAATATATTTTATTTTTTAATTCAAATGATCATTAATCAATAAACTACTGTAATAAAAAAATAATAATGAAGTTAATCTTAGAATATTGAAGATTACAGTTGTAATTAATTGTTTATTCAATAAAATATTGTATTGTAATCAATGTTATTCAGTGCATATAATATTCCAAAATGTATATGTGCCTACATTTTATCTATTAAAATAAGTATACTGGAGGGTGATCATTATTGGGGAGTTCTCTTGAATCGGAAGATTCCTCCTCTCTTTAAATCATTTGTACTGAATATGTGTGTTGGACCAGGGGTGCCCAGAAGGGGGTTTCATGACGCAAACTTTGCCTTCAAAATTTTTGAGGGGGGCACATTTTGTTGGGGTTTTGAATTTTTCAGGAGAGTAAATTTCACCTGTTTTTTTAAGATTCAAACTAAGGGACAATTGGAAAATATGGAAGAGATCGCACATAGTGAATTTGTATATGATCTACGATATTAAAATTCTACTTTCGCTTGCAATTTTAAGAAGAGAAGAGCAATAAAATATGTTTAGAGGAGGCGATGGTGGAGAAATTCATGTGCCATTGACCTTGGGGGGTATGGGTACCCCTGTCTTGGATCTTCCAGGAGGTCAAGGCACTATAGAGTATGGATGTAGTAAGGTAACATGGAGGTTTGGTCAATGATGCCCTGTGTCAGAGAAGGATACTGACAATACCTGGACAAACATTATCTTGTTTGATTTATCATTCTTCATTAATAGAAATGGTTAAGTTTAAACCTAACATGAGACTCAGTAATTCCTTGTTATGTATACCTGCCGTAAATTATATAACCCTTTTTATCAAATTATTAACATCGGCCTGGTAGAAACATTGGCTTTTAATGAAATAGTTTTGCCACTATTTAGCCTATTTATGATCGCCACCCAGGACCATCTCCTTCCTTTATAATAATTTCTAGTTATCTTTTCCCCTTATTAGTTATTTAATTTGTTTCCCTTTATATACACATATATGTATTTATCTTTTTCTCTTATTTTTTTTTCCATTAAACCTACCAGTTAAATATTTTAATAATAGTATTTTTATGGATAAGGCGCTGATGACCTAGATGTTTTACACCTAGACATCAAAACAACCAACCAACAAAATGGAGTTGTGAGATTTTAATTACACACTGTCGATATTTTATTTTACGTCTTACCCAACACAAAATATTATATATTATATAGATTGATCAAACATTAACTTAGTGTTTTATTTTTAATAAAGTATAAAAATTCTATTTTATATTAAAATACCTGAATCAAGAGAAATTTACTTTCTTTGAAAATTGTATCATTCAAAACTACATCAAACTCATTCTGCATATTTTTTGGATCGGTTCCCTTCCAAGAGTGTCCAAAAGGGAGGCACATGGCGCAAGTTGCATCACCAATTTATGTTTAGGGTACACACATTTTAATGAAATTAAGAATTTAGAATGGAGGTCACATATTTAAGGAGTTTCGAATTTTCAGAGGTAACTATTTATTATGGGATTTTAATTAGAGAGAATTTTGAATTGGAAGAACAAGGAGAAAAATTAAACTATAATTTGAGCAGTTTTCAAGAAGAGAGCAATAAATTTTCTTTGAAGGTGGATGCACCGTCATCTTTAGGGGGCATCTCTGTTCCCTTCAACTAAATGCTGTCCAGTTAATATTTAAAATATTATCAGGCTTAGTTTATTAATGATTATTATTTTTACCACGCTTTTTCAACCTGTAAATTTAGCTTGAAATATTACCGGGAACATTCACTTCTGAACAACTTTTCTCTAGTAGGATAAAATATCTTCAAACAGTTCGATGCATTATATATTTTTAGTAGTCAAGCTTAAAAATAATTATAAAAGTTTCATTTGATTTGGAAATCCCATTTTGTTTCTGTTGAATATCAGTTTATAACAATTATTCATATTCATTTCATCACTCTCCATTACCTTCTATGACTATAAATGTTAGATACAAACTTCTCTAAAATTTCTGGCTTTATATAATATTTCTCCTTTTATTAATTTCCAAATTCTTATATAATTGACCATCTTTTTTTTACTAGCATTAATTTACTATTAATCCCTTGGCGGTTCTCAGTTCCATCTTCCTGTTTCTCCTTTAATTAAATATCCAGTATTTTCATAGTTTATATTTAACCATTTTTTTTATTACTAGTTATAATATGAAATGGCCAATTATTGGAAATAAACCATGTTAAAAGAGGAAGCTATTCTGAAAATTATTTTATTATACATTGATATAGCAAGTTTAATAAAAATTGTTAGAGCTGGTTTGTAAAAAAAAAAACATTAAAAATGTGTAAAATCGGTTATACAAAGTTCTGCTTCCAGTATGCTGGTGTGGACCAAGTTTCTGTAAAATCCCCATAGATCCCAGGCATATGAGGTCTGTTCTTACCCACACATTTTAAATCGGGATTTGTCACTTCTCCATGAAAATATCTTTCTTTAGAAACCTTATTTGTCAAAATTCATTATTTCTGAGAACCAGAAAAATCTACTGTATATTTAGCAAAAAAAATTATTTAATTTTATTTAAAAAGAAAATAACCATTAACATTCCAATCACTTGAAATCTCAGAAGTCAACCATGTCATGAAGAAGACGAAAATAAATTTTAAATTCAAATATAATATATTAACTAATTATTTCTCTATATATTTAGCAAATAAATAAAATAATTTTATGAAAATATTTTAGAGTTAAATTATTATTCCAATTAAGACTTAGTAGATAAACTCAACTAACTGTAAAATCAATTTGTATTCTGATTTGAGATGAAAATTCAACTGTCAGTTCCTTTCAAGAAAAAGGAATGTGCAACAATTGTACTACAATTATATGTTTCCATGAGACCAAACATGTTCAGTAGAGTATACATTAGGCAATAAAAGTTAAATATATATCACATTTTTTAATTGATGTAAGAACTTATCTCGGTTAAGCTGTGAAAGAGACTTAAACAGTAAATCAAAACAATCATTAGCAAGACATATATTAACAAGGGCTTCTTTGACTCCTATCTCATTTAATGTAGAGGAGAAATGTGAATCTATACAGCATTTTCGTTATATTAGCACTATCATCAAGGAGTTACAGCTGGCTGATGTGTAAAATGAACTGTTATATTGTTTAAAAAAACAAAGAGGTCATGATGTTAGTAAGACCCTAAGTTAGGCAAGTAACTCATAACTTTGTTTGTTTATCTTTATAAAACCATAACTACTATAAACAAATTCATATAAACAGTACTTAATTTCTAGAAATGGGAGTAAAAGAACTATAATCTTTTAGGTTTTGTGATAATATAATTTGTTTAGTAAAACAAATAGAGGTATAGTAGAAGTTGGTTGGGGGCCACAATCAGAGATGAAATTACAAAGAATAAAAAGCCTTATTTGTGTGTAATTTCATCTCTGCGCCCCCGACCCTCTTTTACTATACAGTATATGGTCAATAACATCACCACCACTATAAAATATGTGTTGTAGAAGGTAATAACAGCAGTAAACAATTGCTTCGTGATTATTTAAGTTAAGAGAGTAATATGTGATTAAATAAGTGTTTTTAACTATTATTTTCAATTCCAGAAATCTGGTGTGCTTCTCCACAAGTTGAGCTCTGAAGTTAAGAAAAAAAAATTATAAACCAACTCAACGAGAAAAAATTGAAAATGTGGATTTCGGCTAAGCCCTGATGCCATGCCTTATAATAATCCTAAAATTAAATTAAATTCATAACATGCATTAATTGAAAAGAAGTATTGTTTCGGCTAAATGCATGGTACTGACCCTTTATCTCTCTCTTAAACATATTAAATCCTCACAGTTTGGATGGTATGTGTGTAATTTTAAAATTTTGGCAAACATTCCTCACAAGTATGACCATACTTTAACGCTATTAAAATATTTTTTTTTTTTTTAATTATAAAGATGACATAATTCTCTAAATTCAAAACAATAATTAACAGCAATGCAGTATAACTTAGTATACATAATATTACAAGAAAACATATTTATAACATGATTTAATTCAATGGATTAAAATAAAACAATGGTTTCACAAAAACAAATTTTATGATACTAAAGAAAATTGACTTTTCACGGTCATCCTATGTATTTTTAAAAAAATAAAAATTTGTGATATATTGATAAATTTGAAAAGTTGAAACTTGTTAAATTAAAAAACAAAAAAACAATGACGTTTCTAACTCAGTTAAAAAACAAAACAAAACAAAGCATTATAAATAACAATTCAATTGTTAAAACAAAAATAATTTCTGTTGTACATAATCCATCACAAAGTCTTTATATGTTAAAGTATGTATGCAATATACATTAATATTTAAAAGAAAGCACATTAACAGATGATATATATATGTACATAATAAATATAAAGTAAGAGCAATAAACTATGCAACATAACTATATTCGTCTGAAGAATTAGGAGTTCTTTCTATATACTGCTTATCTATAAGGGCTTCGATGCACTTCTTTATCATTGTTATGGCTGGAGCAAAAGCTTTTGATTGACTCAACACCTTTAACATAAATAATTAAAGACTATTAATTCTATCAACAAAAAAAAAAAAAATAAAATAAAGATTAACCTTGAAATATTTATATTTATATTATTATATAAAAAACAGCCTGCCTTTTGTTTATAACCACTAACCACAAAAACTAATGAACCAATTCAAACATTTTTATTTTTGAAAGTGGTCTCTGTTGTCTTGAGATGGTCATAAGCTATTTAAATCATTAATGTGGTGACTGGAAAATAAGTTAAAAATATTTTTAAAATGTTTTATAGGCAGGCTTAGTAATGCTTAATTCTTATATTACGTAGTTGTTGGAACTGCATTGGGATCTTGTTAAAAATTCCATTGAAAGAACAAAATATAAGTTATCACAGAAATATCGCCAAGGGAAATTGAGAAGAAAGACAACAAATATTGCGGATCCAAAAGCACTTGAATAAACAGAATTAAAACGCAAACTTTTTCATTCTATCAGTGGCAGATACTCTTATTATATATATTATAATATAAAATTGAAGACTACACAAAGGAAGTCATGGCAACAGCTAGTTTTATTATAATTTATTATAGTACACTCTATTAATTAACTCATTCACTTAACCTCAGCCCACAAAGAGGGAAAATTGATCCAATTAATATTAAATATTTGGAACTAAACTAATGTAACATTTTATCACTTCATCAGCAAAAATATCAGATAAAAAAAATTTAGTCTTTATGATAACCTTTAACCTTCTGAGAAATTATTGAAGATAAGATAATAATTAATTCATTTTGAGAGGCAAAATTCTCACTTTTCAGTCAGTAGGCAATGTCTTGCTAGAATTTAATTAGTCAAAAATTGAATTATAACACTTTAACGACCAAGACATTCCATTCTTTCTCCGCTATATTGTTTTTTCTTTCAAAAGTTGTTATGTACTGTTAAAAAAAGTGTCATACATTTTTTTAAGTCTTGAAAATAATTTAGAGCGTGAATGTGATCTCTGAACACTATTATAAATGTCCTTTGAGACAGATTGTAATATTTTTCAATAAACAAGTTTAAAAAAATAATTTAATCGTGATAATTTAAAATCTGGTGAGGACATCACACAACTTTCACTTTCCGCTCAACCCTGAATAGAAATTATTTTTTGGCAATGTTGGGCTGTTATAAATTTTTGAAGAGCACTTTTAACAGGGCTAAAGCGTAAAACTTGCAGCTAAGAATTATTACCATTAAAATAACACAAACCATATTTATTATATCAACAATAGGCAATAAAAACCTCGTAGCTCTATTTGTTTGTGTAAACCACATAACTCCAGTTGGTGAGCTATATATGCCTAGAAAGATTTGAAAATACATCAGTATTTTTAACCAATAAATGATTATGGATTGTACTACTATTAGTTGTTTAACTCTTATTTTTCTATTATAAACTTTACTAAAATGGGTACCAAGATTTTCATTGCCTACTATCGATAGTTGAAAACACTAATTGTAAGAGGAACATGTTGTAATTAAACAAAGGGAAAAATTCTTCTAATTATTCACTAATTTCATTTTCTAAAATGTTACATTATGGACTTTCGGAATAAACCAATGAGATATACCTAATTATTTACATATAAAATCGGATCTAAAGTTATTAAACTACAGTAAATACATTTAAACTTATAAACATGTTTTACTAATCCATGAAATATTTCACTTCTTCTTCTACACGAGTACGATGAAATAGTTTTTTAAACAATGTCACTGCCTTTATTCGGTACATTTTATTTACTTTTTAAAAAAAAAAATCTAAAGATAATTTTAAAATTTTACATTTAGTAAGAAAATTTCATTTAATTTCCTTGGAAACATGTGGTTTCCGCTAAATAATTTTAGTTTTCAGAAATTATTATTTATAATTTTTTCATCACTCTCGATTAGCTTCTACGACATTCTATATTAGATATAGTTTTTTTTTTTCTAAAACTCACAGTTTTCCAACAATATATTACACGTAGACCTGACTATTATTTTCCAAAATTCATTTTTGACCTAAACAAACATTTTTCCTTTTTTCCTCCTTCATTCAAATTATTTCAAAGGTATTATTGAGCCTTTTTTGATAACTAATAACAATGGGAGACAGTTAATTATTTAAAACAAACCTAATAAAAGATACTTTAGAGGAAGAAATATTGAACATTGGCTATTTAAGCCCTGTACGGTGACATCAATGTGGATAAGACCAAGCTATTAAAGACCACTTTATAATACACTGAAATACCAAGTTTAATAAAAATCATTAGAGCCGTTTTCAATAAAATCGTAAAAATCGATGATATAAAGTGGTACATCCAGTTAGCTAATTTTAATGAAAAAGTTGTTGTAACATCCCACAAATATATATTTTCAATTTGTACGACTTTTCGTTTTTGAGCTAGACCAAAAACATACACACACAAACAGACCATTTTGTGGGACTGGTTATTTGAACCGAGAGGACTTCAAAATGTGTATTTACATTGAAAAATCAGATTAAAAAATTTTCACGATCGCAATACTTTCCCTTACTATATATTACATATATTGGTAAGTGAAAGTAAAAAAAAAAAAAACCGAGTGGGCGTTTACGCCAGCTATTGTCTATAGGGATATTACACTTTTTTAAATAATTTTTATTTCCTTATTTTTACCATATCTAGTTACTTCTTATGTGTATATAATCATATTTCAATAAGTTTTAGACATTTTAATAAAAAAGAGCCTCATTATTGCAAACAAATAAGATTACTTAGACACCATATACAACCACTGCTAATTTACATTTACGTTCAGCAAAAATGTTTTTCATAAAATTTAATTAATTTATTCCATAACTAGAGGAGTACCCCATGTCTAACCCCCATTTTACAAATTATACAACGGTTAATTTAATTGTACAATTCGTTGCTCAAATTGTTTTACTTTAATTTACATGTATTCTGTAGTTCAGATTGTATTATTTTTTATTAACATAAAATAAAATGAACAAAACCACAGTTCAGATAAATTTTTAATTTCTTTAAAAATCTGTATTATACATCGCGCCTTATTGCCGATTTATAAGCATAATATATACTCAACTTGTCCAGCTTCATAAAAGACCAACAATAATTTGAGCCTTTTATTTCTAATATTATCATTGTATGTTATATTGTGCTTTCTTATCTATTTCATAATAAATATAATTATTTCACAATATAATATAATAATTAATATATTGCATTAAAGTGGAAAATGTTTAGATAAAAAAATAATTGCAATCGCCTAGGTAAAATCAAACTACCACCTCCAGATGAATACCATTTCCCGTACAAATTTTTAGTCTAAAATCTTTATTTTGTATTAGGAGAGTAGAAAATTACAGGAGATCAACACATATATAATTAAATGAATAGCTGTATAATTAGTGCTCATTAAAAAGCTAATAGGAGAGCTCCTTTAATCTCCTACCCTCCTATACTAAAATAAAATATGAAGGTCATAAAATTTTTTTTCATATAATAGAGAAATGTATTGGTAAAGTATTTTTTTATTTGAAAATGACAATTTTAGTTTATTCTTTTTATATATTATTTATTTCCCGTTTTCTTATTTATTTAAATTTAAAAAAGACGATACGCAGTATGAAATTAAATTTCAGGCATTTTTATGATGCTAGTAAAAAGGTAAGTCCAATCCTAAGTGATAAATATTTTCACAAAAACTTAGCTGTCATTCTCCATACATAATTTGATGTTTTAACTGCTGCTTGAACAAGCTTGTTATTGGCTCTCAATGGCGAGCGTGTACGCCCGTCATGGTCCCTTCGGTAAATGAGTGAGTGGGAATATACACCCACTGTGGTAGTTAAAGTGTTAAAGAATAAATAATCAACTATTGGGACCATTTGTTTTAATTCTTATTTCTCATTTATTTTTAAAGATGATAATAATAGTATACACTACATTTATATAATTGCCTATAATGTAAAATACTATATTCAAGATCAACCTATAAAAAATATAAATATCAAAATATAAACAAATTTTGAATAATATTATACCATACCTCCTGAATGAGAGCATTATGCCTGAGGACTTTACGTGATTTCATTATACGCACGATTGCAGCCTGAAGATACAGTTTCCTATCTTCATCAACAGCTGTCACAGTCTGCTCTAGTTCTTGAGGGCTTTCACGTTGCATTGCTGTTGTAATCCTCAACCTTGTTCGTTTATTGGTATAGTCCATATTCAAGCGCAAAACTGAGTCATCGATAAGTTGCTAAAATAAATGAAACCAATGTAAACAATTAATTTTTTCTATGTTTAAAGAATATTAAAACATGGTTCAATTCCATTGTTGTGTTCAGAAAGAATAACCTTTTGAATTTTTGAAAAATTACGGCAAAAATAGTGGCAGAATATTGATTTAATATTCTTTCTATTTCGGTGACTAACTATAAAAAAATCTATTTTTAAGCTTATCTTTGAAACCTATTACATTTTTCATGATGATGTAGAGATGGTTGACCGTTGGTATAATATGAGAAGGAGTTAGTCGAGGGTGTGGTCAAATAAATAAAAAATTAAAATATATTAACTATTTTAATTTTTGCCCACTTTGCAGGTCGTCTTCAGGGCGTAGGATGTGGCACTGCGGGAGGCAGTTGAAACACTGGGTTGAGTGTATTGAGTGTTTCAACTGCCTCCCGCAGTGCCACATCCTACGCCCTGAAGACTGTCTGGATGTCTGGATTATATTGTTAAAAAACTGATATCCATAGATGTTTTTATTATTGTATCATGTGTATTCTCTTCCTTTTGGAATTTCTTTCATTCATGGAGTTCTGCAGAGAACAGAATAAGTGGTAGTCACTTGGAACTAGGTCTGGTAAATTGGGAGGGTGGGGCAAAAGGTCCCATCCAAGGCTCAATAATTTGTTGGCAAAGTGGGTCAAAACGTCGGCAAAAATTAAAATAATTAATATATTTTAATTTTTTATTTATTTGACTGCACCCTCGACTAACTCCTTCTCATATTACATTTTTTATTTTCTAAAAACAAAATTTGTTTATTGCTGCATTGTTATAAGAAGACTTCATATCAGATATAGGTGCATTGTAGGAAATTTGAAATTATAATTTTCATTCTTTAACTCAGACGCAGTTTTAAAGCGTTTCAATAAGTAAGCATACAATGAACATTTATTACTAATATACGTGTCATGTGTAAGAGTCATGTAAACATGGCAACACATGTGTGGCAACAAAGTGAATCTAAAAAAACGATTGGCGAATCAAAAGCCACAGATTAGAATCAAGAAATTCATAACTCTAACCCAATTACTGTTATTTCTCATTTAACATAACTTTTTTTTAAAAAAAAGAACTTATATAAATAATATTTATAATTTTTCAGAACTTTATTCCAAAAAAGTTCCTTAGAACTCTTATTTAAATACTTTGTTCCCTAAAAAGTTTCACAGAAACTGTTAAAATGGAACTTTTTGAAAAAATTCCATCCACACAAATTTCAACCACTGATATGTATATATAGAGGTTTTTATATATTTACAGGAAAACCTATAGGAAATTAAAAAATTGGGACTAGTTTTTGATCAATGAAATCAATGAAAAAAGAGAATTGAACTTTGAACATTATCGAAAAATCGCCAGGCTAGTGATCAGAATTAATTGTTCATCTACGGTCAATAAGAGAATTTATAGTTCAGTTGAGTTTACAGTTACAGGGATCAACATAACATATATCGAATGTATGAAAATGTTATAAAGGGAGTATGTATTATGTTGTTTTTTGGATCAATTAAACAAGAATATGAAATATAAGAGACAGTATTGCGATCGTGAAAGTTTTCGAATCTGAGTTTTCAACAGAAATACATGTTTTGAGATCTCCTCAGTCAAAATAACTAAGTACCACAAAATGGTATCTGTGTGTGTCTATATATATGTGCCAGGTCTAGCTCAAAATCGAAAAGTCGCATGAACGTGAAATTGTATATTTAAGGTTTGTATACTATTTTCTCGAAAACGGCTCCAATCATTGTAATTAAATTCATTATATCAATGTAAAATTAAGCAGTTTTTAATATTAAGTAGATTTTATTCTCATTGATGTTCTCTAACAGGGCTTAAATGGTTAATTTTTAATATTAGCTTCCTTTAAAGTATCTTTTATTAGGTTTGTTGTGCTCTAAACTTCCAATTAATTACAAAAGACTCATATAAATGACTATAATAAGGCCTATTTGGACTTACGGACTTGAGCTATGGGGCTCCACTAAATTCCTCTCGTATCCAATCCTTACAATCCAAAATACTTCGTAAAATCCTCAATGCTCCCTGTTTGTTACAAATAAAACCATCCATAATGACCTTAATGTTTCAGATCTGGCCCAATCCAGATACCTATCCTTCTATAATAAACTTCAGAATCATCCCAACCCTCTCGTTTCTAACCTTGCTTCCTCTTCAATTCCTTATAACCCTCCGAGGCATTTGAAAAGAAGATGGCCCTGTGATCTCCTAATGTAGACATATCATTAGAGCGCTACCATTGGGTAATTACTCAACAAGTCTTTTCACGTCATTATATCCATATGTCCATATGTTCAAATTAAATGTATTTCTTTAATACAGTTGTAAATATCATTACGAAATAATAAAAAAAAAAATGCCTTAAACTATATTACTAAATAGTTTTGTGTTCAAGATGAGTAGATTGATAATAATATCCTTAATAATCTAATCCCATTATTATTTAAATGTATTATGAAAATAAATCATGACAGTGGTTCACCTCAGTGGAAGAAACAATGATTTTACAATCTATTAGGCTGGCCAGGTGTTTGTTAAATTGTTCATTGTTTAACTGTAATGTAGTTTGTATCTCCTTCGCTGTTAGGCTGTCGGCATTCTCAAATAAAAGAAGCATGGCCATTTGAAAAACTTGCATTGTAACGATGTATGGTTTCTTTAAATAGCAGAGTTTTAATTCACCTAATAACAAATATAACAAGTATTAAAATTTCTTATATACTTTAGCTTTTTTTACTTACAAGTACAATTATAGAGTTGAAAAATAACTTGGTTGAAGTCAGTAAAATGTTAATAAATTATTATTGATACATCCCAATCTAAAATCTTGTGTATATATATTTATTTTTATTTCAATTGTTTATTGATAAATATTACTATTTGTATCAATTAAGGACACTTATAATAGAGTTCAAGGAGCACATCCACACTATATTTACAGAATCATAAATAAATAAAGTAATAACAAAATAATATGCAACGGAATAAGAACAAAATAAAATATCATAATCTGTTTATATATATAATGGAAAATATAAGTCGTTCCGCTTTCCTAAGTCAATCTACAGCTGATATAACAGAAAATAAAGTTAATTTTTATTCTAGATATATAAAATCAAGAGTTTAAAATAGAAAATTCAGGGTTTAAGTGAATAAAACCTGCATTGCTTTGCATTTAATAAAAATTAAAACTTTGCCAAAGTTACTGAATATATCATCAGTATATTGAACAAAATTACTAATTACATTTTTGATGGAGAAGGACTATTCGTGAATTTTGACCTTCTTTATTGATCAATAAAAAAAAATACATTAAGTTCACTAAAATGTTTCTAACTCTTTTATATATCAAATATAGAAAAATTCATCAAAGTTCTTAGAGGTTTAAGGTTATGAAATGTCATAATTACTGTTTACAATAAACTGACAATATATTTCACGAAATAGGAGTGCACATTTATACGATTCATAAGTTATATGTTTATCGCATATAATTTAGTATGAAACATCTTAAAAAATGAATTCTAAATTAAAAAATGAGAAGGAAATAAATAAATGCATACCTTGACAAAGATGATGAAGCCATGTCAATTTCCGACCACTAAATCGGTTGTGGTAAAAAAGTTCAAACTAAAATAGCAATTATTTAGATAATTAGAATCATCACTTCTTAGAAAAAAAAAATATGAAATAAAATTCTTTAAAGATACTCACCATTTGTACAGATTTAACTAATTCTTGAGGTAAAACGAATGAAGTAAGATTAGCCTGCCCAAGAGGCCAAGCCCCAGCCTATTGACAAGACACAACGAGTACAGAATCAACAAACATCATAAAATACATAAATGCCTAACAAAAATGAAGTATTCATTAAGTTAAAAGTTGAATGTCTCATTCACAATATCTGAGGAATAAAATTAGAAAACCAGCCAAGTCCATTTTTATGTTCACTTCCTTATAAATGTTTTGAAGTTTCCCGATTCCAAAAAACAAACAAGTTTCTCAAATGATCTGTGCGTTTATGTTTGAGGAGCCTAGCTCAAAAATGAAAAGTTGTAAAAAACTGAAATTATGAACTTAGAGGTGTTTACAAAGGCAAGGAACGCGCAGACTCCAATAGTATGCGTGCAGCTTTTATAAATGATAGCTCTGGTGTTATATGACATCTAATTATATAAATTACAGCCATATGAATATATACTAAAGTTGTGATGCAAGTACTGTAGGAGATTTTAGTCAATTTTTCATAGTTGCCCACTAAAGGTGCTGGTTTGATGTTACGAATGCACAGCTGACAGAAATGAACAAATGCTACTTTGAGTATCGAGAACCAAGTATTTTACTCAAATCGAATCACTATTGGGAATTCAATCATTACTTCAGTTAATCGTCTGAAATCAGCTGAAGTAGTAATATAATTTTTTGATACTAATAAAAAGTCAATATATAAGTAAAATACTTGGTACTCAGTACTCAGAGTAGCATTTGCCTATCTCTGACAGCTGAAGTTATTCGCATTAATAAAAGAAATTCAAGACAAAAGTTAAACTTACAAGCAACCTTTTAAATTTGGCAGATTTTGGAAGGACATTAAAAAATTATTTAGATAATTATGTTACGTATCTATATTCATTGTAACATTGCTCATGGAGTAAGGTCTTGAAAACAAAACAGTTTTATAAATAAACAACTTAATAAAAATCTTTTTTAACAATCATAATTTTAATTCAGTACTTTTGTTCAAAATACAAAAGTAAGTTATATAACAACATAAAACAGATATGTTAAAATATAATAGAATGTTAAATAATAAAAATTAAGTTAGAATATAGAGACAAAAATTGAAAAACAAAATCTTACCAGTCGTAAAGAAACAAAAAATGAGAAATAAAAATGTATTCCACTAGAAAGTGAAATCATTCTAGCTCATGATAATCTAAAACGGAAACAGTTAAAAAAAAAAATGGAAAATAAATTTTGGCTGGTTTTGAAATTACACACCTCTTCTCATTAATAAATAATATGGTAACTTATTGTTTTATATTTTTCACTTTTTAAAAAATTAGCTTTATTGTTTTATTCTGATAAAATAAACATACCTGCAAAACATATATGGAAAAGTTCACTCCAAGATCGACATTATCTCGTTTAAGAAATGCTTGAAATTTATTGTTAAGGTCATTTGATACAGAGATATCAGTGAACATTCTGTGAAGCTTGTTGGTGAACTCATACCCACACGCTTGCTATAACAAAGAAATAAAATTGGAATATCAAATCATGGAATAAAATTGGAATGTTAAATTATGAAATAAAATTGGAATGTTAAATCATGAAATAAAATTGGAATGTGAAATCATGAAATAAAATTGGAATGGAATGTTAAATCATGAAATAAAATTGGAATGTTAAATTATGAAATAAAATTGGAATGTAAAATCATGAAATAAAATTGGAATGTGAAATCATGGTGTTCATTAATTTTAGATACTTAAAATTCCTGATTTTTTAAAGTCGTGTTCTGAAAAATTCCTCACTAGGAATATTTGTGCATACCTTCAATTATAAACCAATCAAAATAAATTAATCAATAATGGAAACCTCTGCTACTTTCCTACTGACAGTCAGTATAAATTTGTATTTGAAATATTTTTTACAATTTTACTCAACTATTCTGGAGATATATGAAATTTAAATATGAATTTAAAGAAATATTTAAAATTGTCATACCTTAAGCCTATTAATCATGGCTTCCTCTGCATCCATGGATTGCGATTGTTGATGAATGAGTCTCCTAGCAAGCATCCGAGAATAAAATTTTTGAAAGACATCTTTATCATCGATGTATTTGAAAATAGTAATTGAATTAGCTAAGCGGTCATCTATTTCACTCTCAGACATACCCTTAGATGACTTTTTCAACAGTGTATCACAATATTTTGCTAACTAAAGAAAAGAAAATGGTAATATTAATTCAGCTGTATTTATGTAAAAAAACAAATGTAAATTTTTAGAAGTTTGGTTATTTACAAGTTCTGGAGACCTGCAAGGTTGTTTTGGGTTCATGCGATGATTGATGACGGATGAACAGGCTTTGTCTAAAGCTCCCATGAAGCTTTGATCGGAGTTGAAAACTTCTTGAATGAGCTCTTTGTACTTCTTATGGACTCCAAGCATACTTTCTACAAATTGGATGTGCATCTGTTGAAATAAAACAAGAAAAAAACCTAGTTATTATTTTTAAGCTACATCAAGGAAGGATACGTATGGTTATAATAATACTATATTCCACATAATTGTGATGGACAGAGAACCCTTATACCTAATCCCCTGGATTATGTATAAGGGTTCTCCTCCTCATACTGCCTTCCAAAAACTTCCTTTGATCCTAAAAATTTCTATTTTACAAATATATCACCAGAGAACCTACTTTCCTCTGTTCTTAAATCCAGAACTAATGACTTTGATTTGGATCTAACTCCAGTGAAATTAATCAAATTACGCCTTCTTGTCATCTTCTTCCCTGTCCTATCGCATATGTACAATTTCTCCCTACAAAATTCCAATTCCTCAGCTTGGAAAAAAGTTGTAGTCCGTCTGATGAGCAAAGTTCCGATTTCAGACCCATCTACATTCTCTCCAACATTTCATAATCTCTTAAAAAACTAGTCCATTCTTAGTTAAATACCATCATTGAGCAAAATACAAAATGCTCTCCTCAATCCTCCCAAGTCTTGTTTCCGATCCCAATTCTTCACCCAATCAGCTTTGTTGAAAATTACTCAAGACCTTCAATTCTCCATAGACAAACAGAAAATTTCTGTCCTGGTTCTCTTTGATTTTTCAAAAGCATTTGATTCAGTTAATAATGAAATCCTCCTTTCCAAACTACAAAACAGTTCCCATATCAAAGATCGTTCTTAAGTGGTTCCATTCCTTCTTGTATCACAAATCTTAAACAGTTATCATTCTCAATAAAACTCCTTCCTCCTCTCACTAACTCACTCAGAAATCTTCAATATTTCTAATTCTTTTCCCCATCTATATAGCAACCTTCCTGATTCCACCCATCATTCACAATACCATCTATACGCTGATGACCTTCAAAACTACCTTTCCTTTCATCCTGCTGAGATGATCCGAAGATTATAGAAAGATATACACAGTATTAACACTTGGGCAGCAAGCAATTATTTAATGTACCATACAATCTACATTTAGTATTTAATTAAGTTTTATCATTAATTATAATAAATTAAATAAATAAATAAAACAAGTAATAATAATAAAAAACAACCAATAAAATAGAACTATACAATTTTAGTATCACAAATTTAAACGTTTCTGTTAGGTAAGGGACCTTTGATTACATCTTTGGCACAGTTTTTAAACTGTGTTGAATCTGACCATGGTCACTATCAAGTTTTTAGAAGTTCTCTATGCTGACCATCAACTTTTTACTTTTGAGGCCTCCCAAGTCCAAATAACTTAAGTCCCACAAAATGGTGCGTGTGTGTATGTCTGTGTTAACAGTCTAGCTCAAAAACGAAAAGTGAAATTGCATATTTAAGGTTTGTATATACCTGGGATTTTATAGCAACATTTTCTTCAAAATCAGCTAAACGGAAATGGTACTTTATATCATAGATTTAAAACATTTTTACAATTTTCTCGAAAATGGCTCTAACGATTATGATTAAATTCATTAAACCAGTGTACAATTAAGCAGTTTTTAAGAGCTTAAATGGCTAATTTCAATATTAGCTTTATCTAAAGTACCATTAATTTTTTAATTTGAAATAATTAACCATTTCACATTAAGCTCTTATATAAAAAAAAGATAAATATAAAATATGAAAATTAACCAAATGAGAAATACGAGATGGCAACGAGTAGTTGTAATGGAGGAACTGGAGGAAGGAAAAGGAATACGATTAGAAGAGGCTTCCGTATGTAACTTGAGCTTAATATAATATGGATTTCGACAATAGTATGTACATATACATGTGCAGTTTTCATAAATGCAATTGTTGGTATTATTTAATATCTAATTGTATAGATTACAGCGATATAAAAATTAAAATTAGTATATGTAAGGGTACTTAAACAAATAAAATATAAATAAATATAGGGTCTATTATTTTTACTTTCACTTTCCTTTGGTCTGAAAATACTTATTTCTGCTAAGAAGAGTGTGGTAAGTGAAAGTCGTGTGATGCACGCACCAGATTTTTTAATATCACCCATTAATTACAGGACATCCAGTATAATAAGCAGGCTCCTTGCACTGATGCAATGAAGAGGAAATATTAAGAAAAAAAAAAAATATATATTCTTGAAAAATATTCTAGGCAATGTTGTTTACAAGAAGGAAACCTATTTGGTTTCTTTTTATGTTGAGAGTTATAAATATTACTATCTAAAGTAAATAACAAGAGGTTTTACATTTTCACCATGGAGCCCAATGACAGCAACAAGTCCCCTCTCTTTGATATGTGCCATGACATGCTGAACTAAAACTGTAAGCCCGCCTGCAACTGGATGCAGTAGGGGGTACATATTCCTTAGGTCATCCTTCCGCTCCTCAAACACCATCGCTCCACATTCGGAGTGCAAAAATCCCAGATGACCTGCGACCATTTCCTCCTCACATTTAGCACGGACTGCAGAATAGGAACTGTAACAAGGTCAGATTAACTAAATCACAATATACTGATGTTTATACTACAATAAAATAAGAAAATACAATAGAAGATGCATATTTATCAGGTCTTATCGGCTGATTCTATCTGTAGTTTTTTATTAATCTACAAGCATGTTTATCAGAGGACAAGAGTTAAGTTTAAATTGTTTGTGTTCCACTTAAAACACTGCTTAATTTTTTGGGATATTGTACCACCTGTTAGAATAGTGGGACAGCATCACGAGTTGTGTGGTAATGTATTCAACTACATTATTTATAATATATCGTAATATAATATATGTACGGGAGTGGGGCAGCTCAGTGGTAGAGCACCAAGCTTCCAATGCTCGAGATCCCAGCTCATGGCAGAAAAATGATTTATTCTGTTTCATTGGCCGTGGGGCGACCACTCTATCCTGGGGCACACCCAGCCTTTACAAATTGGGTACCCTTAATTAAATAATTGATTAAGGAACAGTTTGAGTGAGTTCTGTGAAGAGGAGATGATATCCATATTTTAATTAAAAAAATTATGATAAGTATTTTAATTATCTTCCCTATGTGTTACCCTCAATTAATCAATATGTAACTTCATCAATGAACTCATATTCACATAAATTTTCAGATTATAGCTGTATGTTGCCTGCTCAGGTATTGGGAAAGGTATTGATTCATTTTTGTAACACAAAAAATACTGCGTATCCAAAAGTTCTTCAATTAAAACACTAAAACTTGTTTTCTTCCATTGGAATTAAAACAAATGCCTGGTACTCATAACAAATACTCATTAAGGCATTAAATTGGAGGTTAAGAACAACATACTGTATAAAATAAAGTAAACTCGATTAAAGCTTATTAATTTTAAGAATTATTTGTAGATGATTGATATGTTTATGAAAATTTATTGAATGTAATTACCATCTGAATTTAAATATATTTTAATATACACATTTTCCATTTTTTTTTAAATATGGAATTTCTCATATTTCAGTTGTTTCACATTGTGTGCTCCACAAGAATTTATTTAGATTTATAAATCATAAGTATTTAAATTAATTGAAAGATACAAAACCACAAAAATACTTAATACTCTTAATGGTTACGAACTAGATGTTTTACCATGTAATAAAATAACAACCTGTAATGAAGAAAATGGTGACTCCTCATATTTTCTTCATGAAGTCTTTGAGTGACCTTTTCCATGTATTGTGAGACATTACATTCTTGAAGATATTTACTAGCTTCACGCCTATAGTAGTCGCCAGTAGCTTGCAGAAATGGAGCTTCAAAAATGGTTTTATAAAGCTGAAAAATATAAACGTAATTACGTAGTTAAAAATATTAAATATTTAATGTTTCAAATTTGAATATTTCATTGAAATACTAAATATTTCTGAGTCAGTTGTTGAGCCTAATCCAAAGCTGAGAGACTTTATTATGTTATATTAAGTTTATTATGAATGTGGGTTTAGAGTTAAGTTTCTCGATCAATGTCTTGTAGAAACTTACTATGGTCAAGAGACTTATAAATGTGATGTGTGTAGATAAGTTCTAACATATTTGGAAATTTTTTTATCAAACTAAAGCATCCCTCCACCCGTGTTCAGGAAAAATATCATTCTTTAAAACACACTCATTGGTCAGCTATTGTTCTATTGTGTGATTGTCAGCATTTGGGTTTATCATGAAATTTTTCAATCAAAATAAAATTTCAAATTACCCAAGAACAAGTTTCAAAATTGTTATATGTTATAACAAATCACAATGATTTATGAAGTAAATTAAATAAAAGTATAGTTACTTTCCTGATAAACCTAATTTAGAAATATGTGAATTAAATGTCAGTGGAGGAGTTGAATATTAATTTTAATTTTATAATTATCATCAGAACCTTCCAAAAAAATTAATAAAAAAACATTATGTAAGTTCTAATAAATGATGTGTGGCTTTTTATCACCTAAAACTAACAAAAGTCAAATTAATTACAAAACTATCACAAAATACCAAAGAAACTGAACTTATATCATGTTGATTTCAAAGTAAAATTTCTTTTTCAGCCACACCTTGCAAAAAAATACAATGATATCAATGTACAAAGTCTACATCACGAATTTGGTCAAGAAACTTACTTAAGTTGACAGGTCTACTTAGTACGTGGTGATGGCTGAGTTGGTTAGATTAAAATTGCAATAAATAAAAGTTATATATATATATATATATATATATATATATATATATATATATATATATATATACATATATAAAGCCAATATTAGATGTTTATTAATGAAGGAGATGGTCCGGGGTTGAGGTCATAAATTTGTGACCGCAACCTCGGACCATCTCCTTCCTTCATAATGCAACGGTTAACTATTAAATATTCAATAAGATGTTTATTGTATGCAGACGACATCGTACTATTAGCCCCTTCCCCAGTTAAATTGCAGCGTATGATAAATCACTTGGAGAATTACTGCCAAATGTGGAACTTGCATATAAATTTGGCCAAGTAAAAAATAATAGTTTCTTGCAATGGAGGTAGACTATCCAAATATGAGAGATGGAACTTCGGAGGAAGCTCTGTTGAAGTAGTAAATGAGTATAAATATCTGGATGTTAACATGACCCCAAGGTTGGTCATGGGACGACACTTTGCTGAAAGAATAAGTCATGCAAAATTTGGTCTAAATTCTATCTGGCATAATTTCATAGCTAATAAAAATGACCCCTATTCAAGTAACCTAGGGGTGATTAGTTATGCTGGGCAGGTTTGGGGTTTCGAGCCCTATGAAGTTTTGGAAAGGTTTAGAAGATACTTCTTAAAAAAATTACTGTGTCTCCCAAGATATGCACCTAATTATATTTTGGCGCGCACGAAACCAGTCTCGCCTCGATATACTCCTACACACTTAAAATTCATTTCGACTATATTTTGAAAGTGCTGGAGATGCCGAGTTTTCGTTTGCCACATATCCTAGCGAAAGAGGTGATAACTAAGAGGGTTTATTGGTACCAAAAGTGGTTAGAATTCCAGGATAGTAGAAAAACTAATCTCGATACTGCAAATATTGCTGATCTGCGAGGAAAATTGACTGTTGTTAGACATAGGGTAGAGGACTTAGAAAAACAAAATAACCTAGAAAAATGTCTTCATTCAAGTTTTTCTGTTTACGCAGGGCTATGTTCAGTGGGCACTGTTATACCCTATCTTAATGATAGTTTCGATATTGTGACTATATGGTCAATTTTTGATGTAGGAAAGAGTTGCTCGATTTAAGCGTAAAACCATGGATGGTGGGGGACAACGATTGCTGTCCGGTATGTAACTCTCAAGAAAAAGAGAATACAATTCACTTTTTGGGGACTTGTCACATGTAAAATGAGAACAAGAGAGAAATGTTTTTGGGCAGCAGACCTGTTCCCCGGAAGAATTATTTGGTTTCTTAAAGGGTTCTAACTGGAAAGCCTTAAGCAATTATGTACAGCAGGTCACTTTGCAAAGATCTCAATTGGTCAGATAGTAAACTATTGATACAATATCGTATTTATTTATTGTACCTTTGTTTTATTGTATTTGATGGTTATTAATATTTGTTGTTGAAATTAAATTTCTTATTTATTGGATTTATGATGTATTTATGTTTGTTTTTTTGCAAACTCTATCTAAAAAAGTGAAATAGTGAAGGAAGCAATTGCTAGAATGGGTGTATAAATGTATAATAATACTGTGGATATATTATTACTCACTTATTTTAGTTATAAGTGTAATGAATATTTATTATTAATTCCACACAGACCTCGACAGACGGAATTTTCCATTGTCTATGTGTTGTTACTTGTATATGTATAGATATATATTTTAATGTATAAGTTTTTTAAAAGTATAATAAACACGTTTTCAATCATTCATTCATTGATCTCCAGTCTAGATTTCTTAAGGAACCCTTGACTTGAGTGTCAAACATTTGAACCAGAAGTATCTTCAATCAATTTTTTGGGCCTTGCAAACATTGATAACTTAAAATCGCCACAATGGGAGTGTCAAAATGCTTTTTGAGGGACTGCCATAAAATAAGCATTATGAGGACTCAATGAAAGTTATTAGATGGTCCAAGTCATCATAGAGTTTCAAGAAAATAAAAAAAAAGCCCCCTTTGCCGGAATCGGATTCCACACTGGTAAAGCAATGGTGATCCAAGTGTCTTTGCCAAATCAGGATCTGTAAAGTATATAGTAGGATCACCTTGCACTTATAGAAAAAAAGAGGTGATAGTGTACCTATCATAAGATCTGTCATCTGTCAAATATGATATTTCAAAGGGAGCGGCATGGGCGAGTGGGCTAACGTGTGTGCTGAATACATATTGTCCAGCAACCTGTTAAGATATGATGATAAAATAATTACAAGTTCACGTCCTGGTGCAGGAGGGCTTTTTAATTCAGGCATAAATTCCCTGCCCTCTCCCCTTGCCCTGGAAAAAAACCCTATAATAGCATAAAAGGTGAGGAAGGGGTGGAAAAAAAAAAGTGTGAAATTTCTAACTTTTATGTGTTTGTAAAAATATAGATCTACTATCATATTAATAGTATTTTACACTTATTACAGGTAAAATATTTCTAGTTCAAATAAAACACTGAACAAGTATAATATAGTCTTTTCCATTTCAAATATAACTTTTTTTTTTCAATTAAAATGTAAAAGATTTCATTTAAATTAATCCAGAAAGAACTAATGTTACCATTAGTTTAATTTAAAGAATTAATATTTGTAAAAGACAAAGGGAAAACGAATTTCTGCCAGCTGTACACCGCAAGCAAATTCGAAGACTACTGAGCTGATTTTTTATGTTTAACACAATAGGCAGAGTTCATTCCAGGATTATCCTCAGGACTTAACACTACCATTCATTTTTGTTTCGAAAGAAGGCTGATTAGAGGCTTCATACACTGATATCTGCGACTTTTCTCTGAGACTACTAGAATGATTTTCTTTTCTTATTCGGTACCAAAAATGCAGCCCACAAATGATCCTAAGAGCCTGAAATTACTGTAATCTATTTCCTTTAAAAAAAATGTATACAATGCAACATATTACTGTCTTATATCACTGTAAATGGTACAAAATGTTCACTAAAATCTGAACCACACTAACCAACCTTTCTTAGTCTAAGTTAAAAGTGGCAAGCCTATAATTTGCTATGAATTTTAATTAATACCAAACTTATTATTTTTTTTTTAATAGAATACAGCTTTAATTTAAATATAAAATGACAGGAAAACACTTAGATGTCTAAGACAATTAAATATTAATTAATAATTTCCTTACTTCTAAATTATCTTTCTTTTATATTCTTGCACACCAACAAAGGAATGGATCACTCCTTTGATTATATCAGAGGAAACTGATTGAGCATCGCCAATTCGATCTTGATGGATTCCCTCTAACAACAGGCGGACCAGGCTATCTTTTAAAGGTTCTATCATATTTCTCTTCCAGATTTCTAGCCCTATACAAAGTATTCTAATTTAATTAAAGATAATATTTGGATTAGTTATTGCAATCATATAAAAATAAAAACAAAAGATAGATTTTATAGCTTAAGGGTTTGAACAAGGGGTTGAACACTAATATATTACAAGAATTGGAATGGTCCTCAAATTAATATTATAATTATGTTGAAATACCAGTTTGGTCACCATTTGTCACTTCTAACATATTTAAATATTATACTTATAGTTATAATAGGGGATTCTTTTCATTCTCTTATGCACACACTTGAAATTTAAAATTTAATAAATCTCAAATATATGGTTGATGCCGGGTTCAAATTTATGAAGAATCAAGGAAACAAAACAAGATTTTTCTATTTTCTATCAATTTCATTAACCTTACACTTATTATAATTTTGTATTCAAATATGCAATAGGCAAACAAATATACAATATATGAGATCAGATTATAAATCAATAGGCTGAATCCATGATGAGGATTCTCCAAGACTAAGTGATGAAGCAAGACTTTAATGCGGAAGTTGCCGAATGGCTCATTCTTATTACAATGTGCCTCATGACTTCTTTTGATTTAAAATTTACAGCTAATCGGCATGATCTAACAAGGTGTCCACACTTGCCAATTGACAACCTTTATAAACTGAAACTATGTCTTAAAGTAGCAATCAATCCACATAGGTTTACTTAATTAAAATAAACAAAATAACTTTGACCATCACTTAAAAAATTATAGGTCATTGACAATTATGAAATTCCTCAATTTATCCATTATAACTTTTTCACTTTGAAGTTCTGGGGAATGCTATTTCCATCTTCAGAACTTTCATTGTATAAACATACAATATTTAACTTATATTTTTATGTCCTCTGGTGTCATACATAAAATATTTGTTTTGAATTCTTTTAGCCTTGAATCAATATTATCAATTGGTTTCATTAATTTGTATCTGACACAACAGAGGACATAAAAATATAGATGAAATTATTCATATTTTTACAATAAAAGTTATGAAAATGGAGAAAGTATTCTCTGAAGAGTCAACATGAAGCGTTTCAATGAAGAAATCAAGGAATTTCTAAAACAGCCAACAGTGCGGTCCTTAGACTTTCGGCACTCCCGGCCAATGACATCATCTCTCCCAAAAATTAAATTTATTTCTTAAACTGTTTTATATTATGTAATATTTGAATTTTATTTCATTCAATATTCCTCTAATACAGTAGCTTTATTGATAGACTAAAATTAATTATTTTAATACGTTTTGTATTTTTATAAAATTAATAAAAAGTGGCGAGCACTTCTGAAGATTGGCCGGCGTCCCTAACGGATGCTGCTCCACGGATTCAGCTACGGATTCAGTCCTAAGGTCGGCACTGACAGCCAACTATTGAAAATTGGAAATTCTGAACCAAATTAACCAGAGAAGAAAGTAAAAAATTATACCTAACTCTCCAATTTCCATCTGTTCTTCTGAGTCTGGTAACATATTTCCATAGATGATTTCTGCTTCGGAAAGCTTCTGTCTTCTGATATGTTGCTGATTTAAATATCTGAAAATGAATTTAAAACTCAAGATGGGCAATACATTTATGCTATATCTTCAGTCCAGAAGCACATTTATTTACAGTAAGAAACCAGAAATTAACAAATAGCCCATTACCTTAGTTAAAATAAACTAAAAGCGATCTGTTGCCTTTCAACCATGAAGCTTCTATATCCCTCTCAGACAGAACAAAATTTGTTTCCTCGATTCAAGATTTTCTTAAATTTATCAGAACTATTGACTTTGATTTACTGACCAGGGATGGGCAGAGTAGGTAATTTCTAGTTGGCTTTATATACTTAATTTACATTTATTTAATTTGATTATTTTTTTTTTGTCTTTTTATACTTTGTGATGTATTTATCATTTTTTACTCTTCTTTTTTACCATTTTGAACTAAAATTGGTTAAAAAATTCATATGAATTACATTAAAGCTTTTGTAACATCCCATGCAGTATGCCTTTAAGGCATGTAGAGGGAGAAGGTAAAGCTAATAAATGGTCCTTATGTGAGGTTACCACGCAAGGAAAAGAATAAAAAAAAAAAAAGTAAAGTATAGTATGTTATAATTACTAAAAAAAATTTCAAATCAACATTTTATAAACCCTTAAAGCAATATAAAACAAATAGCACCAGAGAGGCAATTTGTTAACAAGATTATTTCTATGGTAAACATAAATCGAACAAAATTATTTAATACTGATAGCTTTTAAGAATACAATCTTTAACATAAAATATCAATGACTTGCATTGACAAGAGTCCCTTGGCAAGGTTCCGAATAAAATGGGTCAAGGATTATGATTCTTTATCATGGAGTCAACCAATTTTGGTAATTGAAATTCTGAACCAATTCCTAACTTTTCAAGAATTTCCCAAAAAATTCCAAACCAGCAACATTTTTATATACAGCAGTAATAAGTTAATGGATATAGGAAAATGTGCTACTTTTATACAATATCTACATCTGTGGAATTTATCATATTTAATTCTGATACATTTTATTAATTATTTCAAGGTTAAGAAAGACAACTGACTAAAAATGTATACGACTACAACAATGTATCAAAAAATAAAGTAAGATTGACACAATATACACTAAAATCAAATTCATAACTTATAAAAATTGACCGTCTTGTAAATGTATACTAGGATATTACTATAAATATATTAGAAATGTAAATGATCAAATATAGAAAAATTATAGTGTAGAAAAAAAATAAATAAAGAAACTGTAGTACAAAATATTTAAGAAAACATTCTTAAAAAAAGAATCAAGTTACAAAATATTTCTTTTATTATAATGCATGATGAAATTAATATAATGAGGGTATTCTTATTTAAATAATCTATTGAAACAACGTTTCATTTATTCACCTCAATTATAAAAATAAAATATAATAGATCAAATATATAGTAATAGAATTAATCACACTAAAAAAAAATTCTCCCAGAACTAATATCACAGCTAACATAAGGCATAAAAACACAAATGTCTTTTGTATATAATTTAGAACTTATGAAGGCACAAATGGGGAACTGACTTATAAAATTTACTGACATTACTGAATTACTGACATATTCCCACAATTCCTGATTGGTAGACACCCTATTTCTTGAATGAGGGAAAGTTAGCAGATATTGTGATCCATTATAAACAAAAACATTAAAGCATTATTTTAAATTGAAAACATTATTAAAACTTTACATGGGATCATAGCTGTTGGACTCTGCTCACTGTCATCCATTTAATTAGCAAACAATATCAACTTTAATTAGTATAAACTTTTTACTATTTGGGAGAACATAATAAGAAAAAAAAAAAGATATTCATACCTTTCCTTTCAAGAATAGGTGCTAACTACAAACTAAGGTGTCATGGAAAACTTAAAATGAGGACAATTTTTTAACCACAGTAAAGAAAAGGGCATAACTTCATATATAAATATAATTGATAATATATAATAATAATACGAACAAGTAAAGCCTATGTAGATAATTAATCCCTTGACTATATTCCATCCATGCCTGATAATAATTACGAAGTAAACTGGGTTCTCCAGCTCTAAGCACCTAAAATGTGATAAATAAGAATTACAGGCGATATCAGATTTGAAATTATAAGAATAACTTAAGATCTTACAATTACCTTGTCAAGAAGAGATTTCACATGTTTATCTAAAAAAAGTCTTGTTTCCTGATATAAACGATCAGCAAGGGGCTCAGGATATGCAACACACAGTGAATATACATCACTGAAAACATTAAAATATGCTTGTTATCAATTTAGAAATAACAGAAAAAGAAAGTGCAAGTTCATTGCAAAACAAATATACTTCTGTGACCTAAATACAAACTATTCCAAATTCATAACCTTCAATGCCATGAATATGTAAACAATGATAGTTATAGAAATTATTGAATTACCAAAGAAACATAATGCAATATAAAAATAACAAATCATTACCAAAAAACAAAACTTGAAGAAATTAATTTGTAACTAAGCATGAAATTAATAAATTGTAAATACGCAGTGGGTTGGATATTTCTTTCAAATCGCAAAGAAAAATATATATATAAATAGCCATTTGGAGGTAAAGGTTATACATGGAAATGATGACTTGCTAGAAAATGGAAAGATCTACCATCAAATAGAATGTTTGAACACTAATTTTACCTATTTAAATAATATAAATGGTTAGGTTTACTTTACCTGAATCTATCGTTCCAAGTTGCCCGTGGCACATTTCCAAGGGTTATTACCCCTTTCACCGTTTCTTGCAAAACATCCCATGTCTCTTGAAAATCCACTTTTTTGGGTTTCAGAGACATTTTATTTTAGTGGAGAAGAAACATAATACCTATTGGTACAAGATGGCTATTAGCAATAAAATATAAGTTTCAAATATTTTAAAAAGTTAACACTTCTTTAAAAGTCAAAAGGATTTTGTGTGAATATCTGATTACACTAAAATTATGTTCAAATTTATGGGATGAAACAATATCAACTAGGATATAATTAAGACCAACAACTGTAATTACTAAATAAATAGCTCACTTCAGGACGAAAATATCTTCCTCACAATTCCAATTTTGGAGCTACAATTAAAGTACCTACGAACCTCACATGAAAATATAATTCACAAACAGAAACCAACCACACTTGTATTCTGGGTACTGATCAGGCAAAAACGAATACATACTGAACAGTGCAGCCAGATTTGGTTTATACTTCGGTTGTATTGATATGGTAATTTGGTGGTTATTATACTATATTCAACCATGTGAAATTAGCAATACATAAAATTTTTATTTTTTTTCCAAATTCAGACATTAAAACTTAATGTGAGAGAATTTCCCTACCTGGAAAATAAAGGAATGAGTCAAGTGCGATAACCCTTACAAAACCTACTCGTTTATAGATGTTTTGAAATGAGGAAAGCTGGTGCTGGAGATTCTTCGCTGTTACCTGACTGTGTTTTCTCATACGGTTGATAATTTATAAGGGATAAATTATATTTTCAAAGAATGGCTGAAGAAAAAGATCCTGAAGTACATGAAATTGTGCTTGAACCCGATGCAGAACTGAGGTTCGAAGTTGAATCTAAATTGGATACAATCACCCTAGAGGTGAGTTACTTTGTCATTTATTTCGTAGGAAGTTAAAATAGGTAATATTTCTTCTCTTACTATAAAGTTAAATTTCATACTTATACTTTTGAACGCTATTTCAGCATTAGTTTTCTGTTTCCAAACACCATTGTTGAAAATTGGACCAAAAATTCGTCTAAGGATCTGTCCCTTGGTTCTTAAGTGGATTAGTTCTTTATTTTGAGAAATCACCCAAGATTCACTACCGTAGGCCAGAGCAGACCTTAAAGGGTTTTATAAAGTTACACTTTGGTATTACATAAAAGGTTACTTTACTTCTGAAGTGTTTTAGGAGCCTGAAATAGCACTTGTTTTGTATCCATTAATCTTCTATTTATTTTTTGCTGCATATTGCTATCAGAATTCACCTGTGAGCTTAAATAAATGATTTTTTTCACTTTCTTAAATGTGAAATCTCCAATTTTTAGATGGTCTAATTCTTGTTGCTTTCATATATTTGGTTTTTACCTTATTCACAGTAAGATCTCCTCATTGTGCGCCTTCTTCCCATTATATATCCCATTAATCCTAATAATAAGATGCACACAAGGCTGTCTTAAGCTTTTTGTAAGTTTCAAAATCTCGAAAGAGATTAATACTTTTCTTACCTCGACAGTATATTCCACATTCTTTATGGTTATTTTTATTAAATGAACTAGCTTGGAGAAAATTATAGTAGATTTATCTCTTCTTTTATACTGCTGACATAGACCTGTCTGATATCTTTATGTCATCATTGTCTCTCAATTTTCTTTTTTTTTTTATTGAAATGTTAACTTTTGAAGAAGATATTTCTATTATTGAATAGTCTCATGAGACATTTCAAACAACTTAACCATGGGTGGAGTGAACCGGCTCGATGAGGACATCTTAAAATTGCTGACATTAGTTAGAAAGGGTATTAGCCTTATTATTAAAAAAATCATGTCAGTTGTATCAACATTCAAAGGCTTTCGAAGTAGAACTCTTGATCAAGGTACAATTCGTAGAAAGAATTGTCACTTATTCGTTGAAAAACTGAGCATTTGATGTTGACTCAGGTTTCACACAAACATTACAAAAAGGATTGACTATCATTATCTTGACCCCCTAAAAAAATACCGAAATGTGTAAAAAATATTATGTAAGGTCTCTCATAAATTATTTTTAACTTTTCTACTCTTGAATTTTAAGTTTTAGCCATTTTGATTTTATAAAAATAGTGATATATCATGTTCCATGAGTTGTTTATTTATCAATTATCTTTATGTTTGTTTTTTCATTAAAAAAAGTTTTCTAATTATTAATAATTTAATCTACATCCTTTTGTTCCAATTACAATTTTGGGGTGGTGGGTGGCCCTCTTGGCAGTGATTTTAAAAACCTTTTTTCAATATGATAGAGTGTATAAAGACAAAACAATAAACTTTGTCTGTATAAGTAGGTACTAAAAGTTGATGAATACTCATTTCAATTTTCACTTGAATCATGAGATAATATGACCACAAAATCGATAAAAGAAGGTGGGCTACTGTGACCAGCACCACCGAAATATCAGAGTAACGATATTATATAGGCCAAACGGCCCAATGTTTTTGTAAGATCATTTTTTTTTTTGATTTTGCGACCATATTATATAAGTGGAAATCAAATGAGTATTCATGAGCTAACAGTACCTAATTAAATAGACAAAGTTTACCCACATTCAGATTAAAAATGCCCTAATTCCGAAAATTTTCGTAAACAAAATATTTGTAGGTTACGATGAAATGAAGCTATTCAGGAAGCTTAAGGCAGATCGTAATAATTTGATAAAACCTGATTTGTACCACCCACTATAAAGGAGCATCTGAAAATATATAAATTTCTTTTCTCGAAAATACATTTAATTTAAATACTTTATTTAAATTCTATCAAGCTCTCTTAATCCAAAAAATCCTTGTGTCCTAAAATGTATGCCTTAGCCGTCACATTTTTCTCTATTTCTATGATATCTCTCGCTTTGGATTTTTCACACACATTATGGGTATATGAAGAAGAACATCTGAAGCATGTAATCAAGTGAATGACATCCAAAATTTAGTCGGTAAAATGAAAGGACCAATAACAAAAACATCTGGTGCGCACATCACACAACTTTCAATAACCATATTTATTTATTTTTAGCAGAAATGGGTATTTTAAAGACCAGCTTAATAATACAGCAACAGTTAACAAATAGCAGTCATCCAAACAATTATAATATAAGTGCTTTCATCGGAATAAAACATAAACCCAAAAAAGGAGGGGATTAGTTCGGCTCCTAGTTTGTTTAGCTAATTTTGAAATAACCTCTATGCTTTGATTATAAAGTTTTCTAAAAAAATATTGTTTTTTTTTTAATGGTTTATGTCTTTTATCTAGTTGGCACATTTACCAAATTTCTCTTACTCCAAAGTTCTATCCTCTGATTAATATTTATATTTATCTTCACAATAAACTTATTCTACACTAATAGACAACTATGGTGTGTTAATTATAATATAATTTTGTAAATTTATTTTCTACTGATTTACAATTTAATTTTCTTTAATCAACTAAAATAAATAAAAAAATATTTCATTTTAATTTTTATTATTTTAAAAATAATTCTAGCTTAAAGTTGGTTTGGCTGAAATATTTGGTACTGAACTAGTTAAAGGAAAACCTTATACATTTACCACTGGAGCAAAACTGGCTGTTTTTACTTGGCAAGGATGTACTCTCGAACTTCGTGGGAAAAGAAATCTATGTTACATCGCAAAAGAAACTCCTATGGTAATATTTGGAAGATTTTGTCAATGTTTCCTTTTATTTCTTCCAAGCTATATTGCTTTACCTGAATATTTTTATTTTATTTTTAGATGTTTTATTTGAATTGCCATGCTTGTCTTGAGCAGCTGAGAATGAAAGCTGAGACTGAATCTGAAGTGAAACGGGGGCCTATAACTATGGTCGTTGGTCCTACCGATGTAGGAAAATCTACTGTATCTCGTATTCTTCTTAATTATGCAGTGCGTATGGGTAGAGCACCAGTTTATGTTGATTTAGATATTGGTCAAGGACAAATTTCAATTCCTGGTGCCATTGGTAAGTTTTGTTATTTTTTTTTTTTAAGATTCATCATATGAATTTGGAGTAAATGATGTTAGAAATGGAAATAATCATTATTGGTTATTGAAGGCATATAAAAAAAATAACAATATAGTTCAAAATCTGGTGCGGTGTGTGTATCATCAAATTTTTACTTTCCACCCTATTTTCTATAGAAATTGGTATATTCATATGTATGTTCGTGAATATTAAAATTATATCGATACCCTAGAATAAAAAAGATTAATGTTCAAAATATTAAAATTTGATGTCTATGAATTAAACCTTTTTTGTTTGTTGCATTTCTGACTTAATTAGCTAATAATGGATTTTTGTAGTATTATTTTGATATAATAAATTTATTTAAAGTTTATGAAAGTTATATATTTTTCGCTTTGTTGCAAAGTGATCTATAAAATCAAGTGATATTATGTTGTGCATAAGTTTTTTCTTTGTATCTATGTATTGTATAAAATATGTTTTCGTATCTATTTTCAGTAAAGATCGGCCCAATAGTTAAGTAACTGAGCTTGTTTTTTTACTTTTCCATAAATTTATTTTTTGGAAGTTAGATGCTAGAATAAATATTCTAATAATTTACACTAATAATTAAACATTTAAATAATAAACAATCAGATTTATGATTATATTTGGATAAAATTGATTTAATTTGTGTTTGTAGTACCAAAAGTGGGCAAACATTCTATAAAATTACCATTTTAGAATAAGTATTGTAGTAGAACAACTACAATTTTTTTTAGTTTTCCAACAGTGCCACGAATATTGGACTGACAAAGATAGCGTGACAAAAAAGTTTGAGACCTATTTCTCAAAGTACGTAAGATAAATGTTTGCTCTGATACAATTTGCTTATGCTTGTTTTTTTTGTTTTTTTATAGGTGCTATTTTAGTTGAAAGACCTGCAGATGTGGAAGAAGGATTTCCACACAATGCACCCCTTGTTTACCACTATGGGCACACAAGTATGGATAAAAATCATCAAACATTTAACCTCTTAGTAAACAAAATGGCAGAAGTAGTTCATGAGCGGCTTCAAACTAATAGAAAGTGTAAGCTTTAATGATTTTATCATTAATCTCTTTTAAATATTTTTCTAGGAATTTTAACTCAACATTATAATTTTTTTTTTAGCCAATATATCAGGTATAATAATCAATACTTGTGGATGGGTGAAAGGAGAAGGTTACCGACATCTGACTCATGCTGCTCAAGCATTTGAAGTTGATATAATTCTTGTACTTGATCAAGAGAAGCTTTATAATGAACTTGTCAGGGACATGCCCAACTTTGTAAAGGTTGTTCTTCTTCCCAAAAGTGGTGGTGTAAGTTAATTATCTTTCATTTGAAAATAATAATATTTTTTTTAGTTGAGAGTTAATTTCCAAATTGTTTTCTTTTGTATTATTGTACTAAGCACTTTATTATATATTCTCACTGTTATTTTGTATTTAAAATCTATACAATTTCACATAATATTGAAAGCAGTGAAGTATTATACAAATTTTTCCTTACTTTTATGAAAATACTTTGTAATTTTAGGTATTCCTATTTAGTATTTAATAGCTTTTTTGTAAAATATTTTTTACCTTAGATATAATCTTTTTTAAAATAATATGTTATAGGTTGTTGAACGCACCAAAAAATTTCGTATGAATTCAAGAGATGCAAGAGTAAGAGAGTATTTTTATGGTGGTAAAACTCCTCTGCACCCTCACAGCTTTGATGTGAAATGGTCAGATTTGAGGGTATACAAAATAGGTGCTCCTCCATTGCCGGACTCTTGCATGCCTCTTGGAATGAAAGCTGAAGATAATATGACAAAGCTTGTTGCCGTTCAGCCTGGTAAATATTATTTCCATAAAGTTACATTTTATTTCTATAATTGTCCTTATGATTTCGTAATTAAATTAGTGTTTTTTACCAATACAGTATACCAAGCTTCTTTTAATTTATGATATTTGTGACAAAAATCTGAACAAATAATATACTAGTTGATATAACCTTGTCAAATTTTACTGTTTCGGAATATAGGATATTGAAATTTTTGCTAAAGGAAGAAAATCCAAATTTCAAAAGTATACATCCTCCAATTGAAAACAATTTTTTTATTTTTTGTTTAAGTTTGGTAATATTGAAACTTGGTCTCTATCAAAACAGAATTTAAACCATTGTTCAGTTTAATTTTATACCTTCGATAAATATATATACGTATACAAACTTTTTTCCCTTTTGTATATTTATTTTTACTTTCATACTGCTAGATTAGTGAAAAATTGTAATCAGGTCAAATTTCTGATGTGTGGTTTTCACCTGATCTTTACGTTTAAGAGCCCCATTATTCTTCTCATATCTATTATTAGAAATTATTATTCTACCTGTTCTATAGGATAAACCATGATAATTGAAAACAACATGAAAAGATCTTAAACACTGTGCTTCTTGTCTGATGCCTAACTCTCTAACTATCTTATCTGAAGTTAAACAGAAATAAAGATGGGTGGGTCCCTCAGTCTCTTAGTCAAAGAAAATTCTGAGGAGTAATCTGACTTGGCATTATATATCTTTCAATGTGATTTTAATCAGTTGGATTAACTTCAAAAGAATTCCTAATTTGTCCATCCTCCCATATGACTTTTGGTGCTTAATGCTATTATGTATGTATTTGAAGTCAATGAATAAGTGGTGGATTGACAATTTTTAAAGGATGATTTTGACAGTAAAAATTTTATCAGTAGATCCACCTCACCAAAAGCCTGCGTGGTTTGTGTTATGTAAATGGTGTGTCAGATAGAGATGATATATATTACAAATAAAATAAAAACCTTGATAGAATAATCTGTTAGAAATTCGTAATCTCAATTCATATTGGTATCTTTGTTTTCTTCACACTCAGCAAGTTCGATTTGTGATGAAGAAATAGTTTATCTGTTTAAAAATGTTCTATCTGTAGATCAAGAGTCCTTATGGTTCTTTTTCAATGTGCTTCCAACTTCAAGATGTTTCATATGCTGCAAAATATATTAAGTTTAAATAGTATGTATTTTATCCTTTTCTCCTTCTGAATTATTTGTTGCATTCATCGAGATTCAAGAACTAGTTTGAATCGGTATCTGGGCAGACTTATTATGGATTAAGGTGAAATGCTATTAAAACTGACACTTTAGTTTCAAGCCCCTTCTCAGATCCAATACCAACTATCACACACTATACCTCAATGACCATCTCATCACTTTTTGCTTCTCAGTTAAAAACTCAAGTTTTTTCATTGACCGAACTATCTCCTGTCATCACCATTTCTGATGTCACTCAACAGTAAATTTTCACTCTCAAACTATTCCATTGCTTCATTAGTTCAATTTTCATGTCATATGTTTTATTTTTTTGTAGGCCCTAATCTTCTCCATCACATATTGGCTGTAAGTTTTGCCAGTTCAACTGATGACGATGTTATCACTACCAATATAGCAGGCTATATTTGTGTGTAAGTACTTTTTGACATCTACTTGGTTATTAAATTTAAAGTATTATACTATTTTTATTAATGAGATATTTTCTTTTTAGGACAAATGTAGATGTGGAAAACCAGACCCTAACAGTTTTATCTCCTCAACCTAGACCTCTACCAGATACTCTTCTCATTTTATCTGATGTTCAATTTATGGACAGCCATTAATACAATTATACAATTTTAATTTTGTATTTATTTTAAATATTTGTTAAAATAAAGATTTTATACCATTACTGTAAATTATTATTATTTTCTTAATACACTAAACTATTGTGTTATTTGGTAGGTTGGGTTATTGTTTATAGTTTTCAAAAACATTTATAACTCGTTAAAAATGTGCCCCCTCAAAAATTTGGATGGCACAACTTATGTCATTCAACATCCTTCTGGTCATCCCTTCTACTTGCTACTTCTTTGTACTTAATTCCAAAAAACTTTATACATACAAGTTTTCTTATTACACATTAGAGGATCAGATTTAGTATACTTATGTTCTATGTGACTTTTTTGATTGTATTTCTGCCAAATAATCTTTTAGAGTCATTATTTCTAACTTATAGCTTTTTAGTTATATTGAAAAACAGGTATTAGTTAAATAAAAGAAATCAAATTTACTGTAGTAACACCCATAACTTTGTTAATAATGATCAAAACAAGACAGGAACAAAGTCAGTTTCCAAAATGTAGAGAAACTATACTTCAAATGAAAATTTGTAAAACTTTTGACTGGAAAGCGAGTATTTGAAAACATGGGTTATTCACTTTTTTGTCTCTCATTGTAGTGGGATTTCAAACGGAGTGCATGCGTTCCATAGTTTGAGTCAAGAATGATTGGTAAGTAACTTGCTGATGTGTAGACCACTTTGCTTCTGAGCTTCTTGCGATTTTGAAGATTCATTGGTTTGAAAATATGAAACTAGAGTTTCTTTTTTTGTCTCGTGCTAAATTTTCCAATTAATGAAATAAATTCTCTGTCTCTCACTATTTGGAATTCGGCAGCATTGTAGCTTTTTTCAAGTCAAGCTCAGTTTGTAGTTGCCAGGAGGCTTTGATTGTTTGGAAGGCCGTTCAATATTGTATTCCCACTTACCACTCTCATCTTTGCTTTGTCTAGTTCCATATAGTAAGCAGTGCCAGCCTCGGTAGGAGAACCTGGGCATTTGTCCAAAGGCACCGGGCTGAAATTGCTGCAACTTATTAGAAATTTAAAAAGATAATATAAAGCGAATGAGAAAAAAATAATTTCAGTCTATTATTAAAGCTAATTGAGACTGTAGTCTATGCACAAATTGCTTTATACATTCTATATTCACATGACCACCTTTCATTGAGCAATTCATTAGGTTTTTTCAGTAACGACACAATCTCTAAAACTTCACTGTAACTTACAGTTTTTTAAATCACAATTTGCCAGTTTTAAGTTACAAATTTATACAAAAGGACATAGAGGAGAGAAATGAAACTCCGCAAATTTAATTTTGTGGGATCAGAATATGCGCCAGGTCAAGATTGACTAAAAAAGCTTAAAACCTCATTTTCCAAAGAGAAATTATCCTTACAAGCTTTTGTAGGGTGGTTGTCGATATAAAATTCTTAAAATATAAATATATATTTGTATTTATTCAATACAATTAGAGAAAAATTAAACAATGTGCAAACATTTTGAAAAAAATAAAATATTTGACTGGTAGGTCAAAATATAAATTATGGTAGTATTTTATACAATCAAAGTTAATACTGTAAGTAATTCTTGTTTAAATTATAAAAATTAAATAAAATCAGTATTTTTTCTTATTTATAAAGTAGTTGTGTTCGATCGCAGAGATGATTCTGCTTTCAATTCAATACATCTCAAGAAGGAGAAATTACAACACCGGAAGGTGGTTATCATTTGGCTAGGAGGATAGAAGGAGTTTGAAGGATTGAACATTCATTAACCACAGTCACAATTTTTTCTCTGGCACATCTCAGGTGACAGGACTGGTGGAGTGTCTAGGAAAACTAACATTTACTTGCTCCAAATCAAGTTTAATTATTCTAAAAGAGAAATAATTTATTATGTAAATTATGGTTTGTCTGTCATATAGACACCTCATTTCTTATATTTTTGGTTATTCCATCAATCATTTATTATGCATACATATATAATTCATTCATTATTTATTTTTTGGATTAACATACATTTTGAATGAATGTATACATAATCATTAGCTTTGTATTTAATGTTAGGATACCATTGTTATTGGGTTGAACCTAGTCATCTGCCAACTAAAGAATATTAATAATAATAGAAATTAATGTATTTAGTGGATTAAATTTATCATAATGTCATTAAATATTCATATTTGTCAATGCTTCATTATTAGTTAATATCAATCATTTGATACATTTATTTTTATTAATTCTCCACCATTAATTTTTTTATTTTATTTTATAAGAACATGTACCTAAGTCATTAGATGAAACTCACATGATTGATTAAATTACATGTGCTTTGCCACAGATGTCCACAGTAGGTTTAAAGTGAGAGGGGTATTTTGTGTTCTGAACTGTTAACCTTTTCAGTAAAACACTTTTAAAAGGGGTAAAACATTCAATCTTAGTTACACCTTTTCATAAGAAAACTTTCATATAATGGTTGTTTTAAATTAAATTCATTATATTAAACTATCTACATGTCCCTCCTAAAAAAATTATCAGATAAGTTAGATGCTATTTTAAATGAGGAAGAAGTAAAAGATGAAACACAACAGAATCATTCAGAAACCACTAATGTTAGACAAAAGAAACAGAAGAAGCCAAAACAAAATTTTGTAATTGATGATTGGGAAGATATGGATGAGGAAGATGACACTCCATTTTTGGTATATAAATAAATAATATAAAGAGTGCTTCTCTTAGGTTATGTTCAAATTAGATTATTTTAGTGCAATAACTTATTTCCTTGTAACTTGTTTTTAAGTTCTTATAGAAAAACTTCTTTGATATTTAATTATTTAAATAGAAATTGGAGGTACTGTTTTACACCAATAGTATTAATAACTGATGACCTTGTTACTTTATTATTTTGAATGAGATAATATAATGTAAATATATTTGAAGTTTACTTCAAACTTGTATATTTTGTCACTCTTCATTATACATAGCGTTTATCATATCTCTAGCTGAAAGACATAAACAATTTTCAAAGACTTTTTTTATCTATTGAAGCTAATTATTTGAATTTCTCAGTAAATATTTTCTCCAGTCTTCTTATAATAGATTAATTAAAGAGTGAAAAAAATCATCACCTAATCGTACAGGAAAATAAATATATAGATAGCAAATACATTTTTTAAACATGAACACTTACATATTATTGATATATTTATTTTAGAGTGTTGGTAAGAACATCAAAATGAAGTCAGCTGATCCTTTTTTTCCTAATGATGTTACTGCACCAGAAGGACCAACCAGAGTAAAATATTTTTTGTATTTTTACATTTAATGAATATAAGTAGCTAAAAGTTGGTTGCTAATAAAAAATATTATTAAAAACTATTACTTTTTTCAATTTAATTAACTGATCTTTATTATTAATTAAAAACCTTTTTATTTATAAACTTTTTTTTAACCCTAGTAGATGGAGGGGAATGGTTTATGTGGAATTGGCCAATATATTGACCATTCACAGCTTTTCTTTTTATATCACATTATATTTTACAATTTAAGAGCTTTCTTTAATAATGAAAGCATAAAATTACTATCCTGTTTTCTATTTCATTTTATTTTGTTTTTAATATCTATGTGATGTGTATTGAAATTCTTTGTGTTATTTCTAAAGTTCACTTCTCTTTCATCATTCTCATATACATATCGTGCTCTAATCATCCATCTTTTCCTTACATTTGCATCTTTATATAATATTTTCAGATCTTCCTCAGTAATAGTTTATAAAATTGCTTAAAAAGAATTAAGTTGTTGGATTCATTTAATTGTTATGTTTTTATTTTTGATGATTTATGTAATTTTAAAGTGTATAAATTGTCAATTAAATAATCTTTTTTTAAATAAGTGACCATTATCTATTGCCAAGGTGATAAGAACGAAAACAAATTTAAATTGTTTTTCATAAAAATAAAATTGTGATGTTTAAGAAACAGATACGCTGATAGCGATAGGCCAAAACGTACATGTAAATTAAAATTACTACACAATAATGTCTTTGATTGTGACAGATTGTACTATTTCTGAATAAATAAAAAAAAAAGCTATATAATAAAAAACAAATTTTGGGACCGAAGGTCAAAAAAACTTGTTATGTATTATTATTTATTCAAAATTCCCTTTCTGCTTTCTAGTTCCATTTTCCATTTTAGTTCCATTTTATTTTAGAGCTATCTCTGCCTAAGACCTGTTTTATCTAGACTGGCAGTTAGGGGAGCCTAGAATTGAAACCTACACCTGGATCAGCAACCTTAATAATATATTAATAATCTGTCACAATTTATTTTTGTTTGTTCCTTAGAAGTCAAGAATAAAATCAAAACGATTAAAAGAGGAAGATAACAACGGGAATAAATTGGAAGAGGTAAACATAAATTCAAATGCACTACCTCCTGTGTTAAAAGGATTAGAAAACTCTGAAGGCTTTGTTGAAGCCAAAATGGTTGAGTTGAGTAAAAAGATAAGAGAGCTAAATGCTCAGTTGAGCTGTACCCAAAACAAACTAAAAATAGCAGAATCTCGTGTTGTTTCTCAAGGTAAGATTGTTTATTTGTTATTATTCAAATTTAAAAAAACAAAAAACTCATTTTTATAAAGTATTTTTCTATTCTTCAGATATTGTGTTTTTCCTTCAGAATCGATACAAAAAGAAAGTATAGAGCCTAAAGAAATATCAGAAGACAAGGTAGCTAAGCTCGAATTAGAGTTCAAAGACTTGAATGATAAATACCAAGTGTGTAACACAAAGTTATGTGAAGCTAGAAATCAGATTCAACAACACAAGCATGAAATAAAGCTCTTAAATAAGGTAAGAGCTTTTGGTTGAATTTCAATACAATGTTTTCATGTGACTGATATTAATTATCCACTTTGTATTACTCTTTGCTTCATTATCTATGATCATTTTATGTTCCTAAATACATAAATTATTATTGTTCTTCCTCTAAGGCTCTTGCAAGTGAAGTTGGTGATAATTTTTCAATCCATAACGTTACGAGTGAAGGATGGAGAGGTAGAGCTCAACAGATTTGCAGTTTACAACAAAAAGTATCTGAACTTTCAGAAAAACTCTCATTGACCAGCATACCATCTATAGAAAAATCTGTATGTGAGTATAAAAATTATAACTTAATGAGTTATGGAAAAATTTGGACTTCAACTATTTCTTATCTTCACAATCCTGTGATAACTGCCTTATGTTATTTCATTTGATAAGCTATGTATTTATTATAAGATAACAAGTTTTTCAATATAGCGGCCGTGCAGTCATTTGAAAAAAGTCAAGACAAAGAACGTATAGCATCGCTGTCAAAAGAACTTGAAGAGTTAAAAGTTCAGCTAAGTGAAACAAAAAGTAAAGGGGATCAGGCACGGGCTAGAGTCAATGTTCTTTCAGCAGATATTTCAGTTTTAAGGACAAAGTATGAGACCCTGGTCTCAAAAAATGATGAAGATAATAAACTTATTAACACATTAACTGTTAGTAATTTTTTGCTTCTTATTAGTTTTATTACATTTTTAAATATTTTTGCAACAATAATTTGGCTCAATTTTAGAATAAACTAGCACATATATCCCAAAAAAATCATGAAAAAGAACTTCATTTGGTTAGAGCACATGATGATCAATTAGCAGCTTTGAACACAGAACTAAAACAGGTATTTAATCTTATAATTAAATTTTGAATAATATATTGTCTATGAATTAAAACACCCTAGTTGTACATTATTATCAATATTCTTTGAGGGATTTTGAAAATAACTCATTAGTTTGCAATCCACTTAAGTAATTTAATAAATTATTTAGCAATTTTTATTTATTTATTCCTCCCTTCCTGCTTTTAAACAACAAATATTTTAACACTTTTTTTTTTCTAAAACTTCAATTTCCTTCAATTTCTGTTCAACATAAGAATTTATTATTAGTCTGAGGGCCTTCTATGAGCAGGTCCTATTCTTCCCAGATTAAAGTGTCCTGGCCCCAGAGAAGCTTTCCACCCATACACAAAATCTTTGTAATACGGGTAGTTCTGCTTCATCACTAATTGAGGAAGTTCATTCTCCGTGAGGCCATAGAGTCCTATTTTCCTCATCATTCTGTCCTCAGTACATCGAAGATGGTGCAGTTGACGATAGTGTGGGTACTTCGCAAGTGGGACAAAAGAGATCTATGTCTTTTCCAAGACTATGCAACTTAGTGTGGAAATTCTCATGCTCTGTATGGATTTGAGAGACCCAGTAGTCTGGGAGAACCCACTTGGCGTCCGAGAGACTTTGGACGGTGGGGAAATATTTTCTTAAGGTAGCTCCTTTCGAGGTTGTTACTCACAGCTGATTCCTCTCATTTGTGCTATTCTCTCGGATAATCACTTTTCATTTTCTGAGATCTTCTGCAATCCTCACCCGGATATTCTCTGGAAGACCTACTGAGCCTTCTCTTTTGAACTTCAATATCAATGAGTCTTCTGGTATGAGAAGGTTGAGAGGTACCCCTCCTGCTAAGATCTGCTCCGCCTTATATTATTTAGCAATGGTGGAAATATTATTGGTTGTAGATTATATTATATTCATGTAATTTAATAAAACATATTTTACAATTCTTTTTTGGTTGACCCTCCAATTACATATTTTTTACAAAAATAAAGTTCAATTTTTCAGTTTTTCTTTTTTATTTATGTTTTAAAATGATTATTGACGATTAATCAAGATAAAAATAATATAATCACCACTATTAATAAAATGGAATAATTTTGATCAGAACTATACATTAAAATATTTTTGATGATTTTGTAAAATTGAATGAAGTTCACTTTCTCTATTTTTCATGGATTGAACATTCTCTGGCATTAAAGCTTCTTCCACATTTTAACAAGTTCATTACCCAGCATGAATCAGTCAAGTTAATTTTTTCTTAAATTAATTAGATATTTGAATTATTTTATGTTTTCCTGTATTTTTCCTGTTCCAATCTTCTGTTAAAAATGGAAATTCTATGAATTACTTGTAAAATCTATATACCTTGACCAAAGAAAGAACAAAAAAAAAAATGTCAGTTATGTTTCCATGGAGGTCCCAGGGTCAAGAATATTATGTTGCCTATATCATGCATTTTTATAGGTTTATATCTTGATAATAAGTATTTTTTATCTTGATGACCTTAAATTAAATTTGAAAATGATATTTTTCATTCAGTGAAGATTATTTCTTATCAAATATTCACTGCTCAAATTACTAATAGTTCATCTTACAACTAAACTAATTCATACATTATCAATGCAGCAGACACAGGTGAAGTTGTATTTGTCCAGCTCAACTGTTCTTCCCCTCTCCCTCCTCATGGTAGCATGTCAGGCTACCAATACATTTTTACAATTCAAATTTTTGTTTTGTTTTTTTTGTGTAGGAAAAAGTGAAAACTGACCAACTTCAAAAGATAGTTACAGAAAGAGATGCAAGAATAAAAAAAATTGAAGAAAAACTCCAAGCTTGTCAACAGCAAGAATGCCAACTAAATCCCCAGTAAGTTTTATTAATGGCTGCCAGTTATCAGTTATTAATTTGGCTTATAATTAGTAATGATATGATTCATTTTTCAGAAATAAAAATGACGGTGTTGTTTCAAGGCCTCAAACTTCTGGCTTAGGGTCTGAAAGGCCCTCTACACAACAATCTGTGAGCAAGATATTGTTCTCTCTCTCTCTCTCTCTCTCTCTCTCTCTCTCTCTCTCTCTCTCTCTCTCTCTCTCTCTCTTTCTATATATATATATATATATTATATATATATATATATATATATATACACACACACACACACACACACACACACACACACACATATATAGATGAGCCTTTACTGATAAAGGAATAAATAAATATACAGGATGGTGGTGATTGAACATGTAGATTGAACAGCCTGTTCAGATTACCAAAGTTTAAATTTAAAATGATGGAAAATATACGCATTATCATTTAAATATAAACTCCTAGCAAACTAAAAAAAATGTTTTTTTAAAATTCTCATTTAATGTATGTTGAGTCTCTGATTTTGTTGCTAAAGAAAACCCAAATTCTGACAAATTTCTTGAAAGTCAGATTTTGGTAGTTGACATATCCATTCGTCCTCTCCAAGCAAGTATTGAATACCTTATGGTGTTTCTATGATTTATCAATAATAAAAAATCTGGTGTGCGCAAAACACAACTTTCACTTATTCCTCTACTTTGAATAGATATTATTTTCTGGCAATGTTGGACTATTATAAAATTTTTGAAATGAATTTTAAACGGAGCTATAGCTTAAAGCTTACAGATGGCAAATCATTAAGACCATTAAAATTACAAAAAGTCTGTTTATTATATCGACGGTAGGCAATACAAATCTGGTTTTATGAACCACGTAACTTCAGTCTCGTAGGATTGTGTGGGATGGCCATTGAAAAAACTAGATGCAGGGTGAAGATACAGAACACTCTGTCAGAACAATTTGAGGAAGTGGCAGGTGACCCTCTTAAGACCAATTGACACTTATTTAGGAGAAACATGAGTCTTGACATAGGAATGCGAGAAGATCCTCCGGATCTGGGAAAGGAAAGTCCTTCGGCAAATCTTTGGGCCGATATGTATAAGTGGCCAATGGAAAATAACAGATAATAGAGAACTCCAAGAACTGTATAAAGAACCAGACATAGTCACTTACATTAAATCAAGCCGTATAAGATGGCTTGGGCACGTAGAAAGGATGGGTGAAGATCGATACCCAAAAAGACAATTATATGGTAAACCAGGAGGCAAAAGAAGGAGAGAACATATACAATATGTATATGTATATATATATATATATTCCTTTATCAGCAAAGGCTCAACTGAAATCATAAACTCCTTCAACACATCTAAATTATGATCATGTATCTTCCTTTTCAGAGAGTCATTGTCGATAATATTATTTGAAGTTTTAACTTTAAAAAAGATTATTTTTCCAATTTTTAAAAATCCTAATAAACCTTTAACTATTTGCTGTAAAAGTTGCCTTGCCATGTTAATCACTTCAATTATTTTATTTTATTTTTAGTTGAATAATTGCTCTTCCTACAGCCAGTCAATAGAAGTTGAAAGATTAAGATTAATGGAACTTATAACTGTTCTGAATAAAAGATTAGACGAAGAAAGAAAAACTCTTGATAAAGTTCAGGTAAGTCTTTTTTAATGTAACTTCAAAACAATATGCATTGCATTGTAATTATTAACATTTTTTTTTGTTCTCCCCTTCTTCGACATTTAGGCTGAGCGAGGGTTTTCTCGGGCCAGGGGGTAAGGGTGAGGGATTAATGCCAGAGAAAAGAAGCCCTCGGCACCGTAATGTATAAGGGCGCTGCATGTCTGCAAGGACGGGTGATAATGACGTATTGTTATTACAGATGCATAGAACCATCAGACCAAGTCACCGGTTAGCGACGCTCCTAGATTGGAGCCTTACATTGTTATATTGTTATGCAACAGCTCTCAGTTCATCTACCACAATATCCTGGCGGGCTATATAAAGCTTTTTCTTTCTTGTATTTTTATAGATTCACTATGGAATCACTTACACCTGTATTTCTTTTGGCCAGGCTTTATTTCGTATTTTTTATTTGGGTCGTTTTATACCATTTACTTAACCTTCAGGGCAGGCGACCATATCTATATGTCTTTCATTAGTGTTAGCGAGGGAATTTATCCAATTGATAAACGGTTACGACCAACACTATCAAAATTGTGCATTCCCCAGGATGGCAAAGGATCCTTCACTTCCTCATCCTGTCATATCTGGGCTCTTTTGAAGATAGTAGTGCCTGGACAGTCTCGCCTCTCAATGTGGGTTGGACTAGACTTCTCGGCCATTTTACCATACATATCTTAACTATTTATCTGACTGGGCTCATAGTAGCCTACATCAGCAACTTCCAATTTAGGCTGCACATATTGTTTAAGGTTCTCTCCCTACTTCGCTCTTACAATATTTTGGTTCCTTGAGCATCTCGTTGGCTACTTCTGTCTTATGGTTGTTGAACTAATCAATTCCCTGATGGCCCATGATTTCTTAGGTACGCCACAGCCATGCTTTTACATTCTGTTTATTATATTCTTAATTCATTATTTAATCGATAAGAAGAACACGTCAATACCAAGCACTTACCTGACGACTTCTAAGGAGTTACAATTTGCATTTGTATTTTTGACTGTTTTCATTAAATTTCACGTTTATTGTTTAAAGAATCATTGCCCACAGTTTCATATGCTATTGGTAAAATAAAATAAGCCATTAGAGACAATACAGATAAGACGTGCGTTTTGAACTTTCTGATTATTCAAGAAGTACAATACAAAAGTAAAATCCGGAAAATCGACACAGTTACCGAACTGTTCCTAATTTCTCGGGTTATAGGTACTGAATATGAATATTATATTTAAAATTGCTAGTGTAGTTGTTTGCTTAAAGTCAGAGGGCGGTAGTTACAGTTTGAGGACTGGTAGATAGGGTTGGGTATCAGTTGTAGTTAGTCTAGCCCCGTAGCTTGATTAGCTCAAGTAAGTCGAGTCATGCTGAGTATGGCCGGTAGCCGGTCTGTGCCGTTGCTGCTCAAGTTGAAGACTCGATGTTATTAAAATAAAAATAATTCATATTGGCAAGATCTAATTTAATAAAGTGAACAAATGTTTAAAGTTATCAGTTTTTAATGCCTTAGTGACGCCTATTACTTTTAAGAATGTGATAATCACCATGAACATGACCAGCAATAATGTTGGTCCAGTAGGATCATTGTTCGGTAATATTAACTAATATTTTTCTTGTCAATTTTCGATATTATACGTAATTACTTCATCAGCTGCTGCCTTTCTCCTTGACAAAGTTTTCTTTCCGTTTAGATTCTGTAAACTTCTTGTGGCCTCTTCATGGATACGGTTTAATCCACTTAGACTTTTCGGACCGAAATTCATTTGCAGTTGGTTTTTATCCCCGGAAGGAGTTTTCTTATAATAGTATCTGTAGCTCCTCGGCTGCGCACTCTTGGGTTTGATATCCTTTATTTTTTTATTAACCTCTAACGGATTGCACATTCCTTGTGATTCCAAAGTACCACCAAGTGTTTTCACCCTTATATCAGTTTTTGCCTTCGACTTTTTCGCTAAAGATTTACTCTTTCTCGTGTTCAGAATATCATTTATAACGGCTTCAATAGCCTTATAATTGTTAGTTTTGAAGTCCTCTACGTTAAATTTCTCGATATATTTGTTTGGTACGGTAATAAATCTTTTTTTCGACTTTTTGGACCTTGTAGTAGACGGTGCTTCGGTTGGTGACAACGTAGATCCTTCCGCTGGAGTTCCTCCACCAAGACTTAATGCTGCCAGAGACTCAACTACTCCAATGTTATTCCTCACTGTATTGGTAGGTTTTTTACCAACGAATGGTTTATTGGATATCGGACGATCTTTTCCAAAATTGGAAATCCAATTTTTCAATTGACCACTTTCCTCTTCCATTTTAAAACGAAATAAATAATATTTTAATGAATTAAATGATGAATTAGCTCACTCTTAAACAGTCTTGCTATTGTAATATAAATTTTATTTTTAATTGGCACTAATGTTGACGAAAATATCATTTAAATTGATTAATAACCTAATTTTTGTATCATGTGGAGTTCTATTGTTATATGATTTTGTCTGTATAAAATAATTTTTTGTTTCATTGAAAGTTCACACGTGACGGATCACACATGTCATAAACATTTTAGAATTTTTTTTTTACTCTGAAATGTACTTGCATCTTTCCGAAGAGTTTTTGAAGTTAGTTTGATCAGCTGTGTTGCATAAGTACATGAAATACATTGATAACTCATGAATTAATGTGTGAAGTCTCTCCTTCGATAGTTTTTATTTATTATTTCGTTACATCACTTCTAGAAGTTTCTCTATCATCATCTCCATTCGCATAAAAATATACGCTAATTAAGGAAGAAACTTTTAGTGCGCATGCGTCAAACAACGACTTGGATATCGTTATATACCATCACGATGTCAATCTTGTTTTTATTATCTGAAAGGCTTAGCCAAGATAATTGTGGATGTCATAATTTTATTGTTTATTTCGAATAAATAAATTTTATAGATAATGTTTTTATAGACATTTTTACATAACTATTCAGGCGGTAACATTTATATAATAGAAAAACATTTTATTTTTATTTTTAGGTTCTACAAACTAAGTTCTAGAAAGGTACCTATGTTAGGAATGCTGCCTCCCTCCCCTAATGTGTAATACATAAATATATATATATATACTTATAATATTCAATCGTTTTGTTAAGATATTTTCAAATATATCGTTACGCATTATATAAAATGCCGCCATTTTTTTTTTTTTTTTGGCTCTTCCCACTCCAATCAAAATAGAAAGTGCGCCTATGATGGTAAGGTATGTAAATATAAATAAAATATAATGATAAGTCAGAGAGGGAAAATAAGGCGGCAAAATATCAACAAGTCACGCCAAAGAAAAAAAAAAGATAATAATGAGAAGTAGTACATTTTTTTTAAATTATCGATAACAAAGAGGAAATGGACTGTGTGATACATATGTAAAAAAAAAGATATATATATAATCAAATAAGACAAGTATATGAAAATAAATAAATATAAATATGAATATGAATGAGACAAGTAAAAAATAAACTTAAAAACCATTGAATGGAAAGTATCTTTAAACTTTAATCACTATTTTTAACTTGATGAATTTTCTCTGTGAAATCAGAACTTTGTTCGCTTGTTGGAACTAATTTGATTTATAAAAGGCTGTGTGTCATTTTAGTCCACTTAATGTGTTTTTATTTTATCGATATACGTATCAAAATTTACAAAAACGTTCTTAAACGTTCAGCTCCATTATGTGACCTTAGTGGACTTTTGCAATAAACTGATGATATAGAATATATAATATATACTCAAATTTAATAATAAAATGTTATAAAGTAATGTTGACAAAGTAATAAAGTAAAATTTGGCAAAGAATAATGCACAGCACCGCGTTGCCCGTCAACCTTATTGAACCTGAATATTGATAAAATAATATCGGTGCTGGGGAGGGAATGGAGCTTTTAACTTTGACAATAATCCCTCGCCCTCACCCCCTCCTCCTCTGGCTTGGACAAAACCCATATAGCCTAAAAGGCAAAGAAGGGGAAGAGAAAAAAAAAATATGATTATTAAAATAATGAAATGGAATATTAGGTAATATTAATAAATCGGACAAATAAGTAGCACATAAAATAAATATGGTGTGGTAATCGTTACAAGATGATATATTTAGTTGAAAATGAACTAGACATATTAATGATTTAACTGACAATTAAAACATAATTATGAACTTTTAATTGCTGGTTAGATTTTAGTCCAGTGGTACAGGCCCCTATTTATAAAATTATTAACATCCGGCTGAAACTCCATAAATAACTTCATCTCATCGTAACCTACAACCTAAACTTTGTCTATTTAATTAGGTACTAAAAACTCGTAAATACCCATTTTCTTTCCAATTTAATCGTTGGATAATTTGAGCACATAGGCGAGAAAAAACGTAGCCTTAAAAAATAGTGAGCCATTTGGCCTATATAACCTCGTTGTTTTGACAATTTGAGGATGTAGGCCTCGCCGAACGGCTCGATATTTTTGAAGGCCACATTTTTTCTCGACTTTGTACTCAAGTTACGCTTAAAGTGGAAAGCAAATCGATATTTACAAGTTTTTAATATCTAATTAAATAGACGAAGTTTGCCGACCTCCAGATTGAAAACCTAATTCCGAGAATTTTCGTAAATAAAATATTTGTAAATTACGACGAAATGAAAGTTATTTACGAAGTTTCGCCCGGATGTTAATAAATTGATAAAAAGGGGTCTGTACCACGGATTATTTATTAAATTATGAATTAATTGGGTATAATTAATCGTGCCTTCGCGACCATTGTTAATTTTTCAATATCTATATTAAAAATGGCTTTTCTTTAATTTATCAAGTAAGAAAATTATTATTCCTGATTGTCTGGAATCACAGGCGGATCTACGGGAGGAGAGGGGGGGAGGGGGCTTTCGGGCTGAAGCTCCCCAAAATGGTAAAATATAACCATGTTTTACAGAAAAAGATACTAAAAACTATCTCTTAAAGTATTCTTGTTCGTTTAATTACATTTAATAGGACTTCAAGAACCACTTAAACATCATTTCGTATAGGTAGTTAATTTCTTCCTTTTTTTTTTAATTAATGAACTTATATGAAAACAAATCTTTCGGGCTGAAGCCCCCTCCCCCCAAAAATTAAATCCTGGATCCGCTAGTGTCTGGAATAACTATATAAATAAATAACTACAAAGAATAATTTAGTCTATTCTTAACAATAGGGGAATTTAAAGCAGAACAAATGAAGTATAACAATGATAATTGATGGGTAGGTTGACGCCTTTACGAAAATAGAGAGGGCAGGTTGGAGCGATCCGAAATTTCCATGAAAAGAGGGGAATAATGACCCATTTTGCATGATAAATCTCCCGACTTTACAGCTTCGTTTTTCCCCACTTCACAATCGAAATGTTGAACTCAAATCAGTGATGCTCGCTTAGGAAATAACATTATCTTGGACAGAAATGACTAGAAGCTAAAAAATATTATTTTACGCATTTCATTCTTTTTTACGAGCATTTACGGAATAATAGTTATAATATAAACTAAAACTAAAAATAAACTTTTTTGTATACTATAAAAAATAAATATACAAATAAGATGTCAAAAGTGTGACCAGTCATTGACTATAAAACATGTTTTGGAAGAATGCCGTTTTTACACCGCAAGGTTAAAAGATCTTGGAATATCCCAGAATATTTCAGCATCCCTGGGAAATCAAGAAGAAATGGTTACCAAAGTTATCAAGTTCCTAGATAATGAAAGACTTATACAACATATATGACAAGTTTATAAATTATGGCCCTTTGCAGATTTATTATTATTTTTAATTTTTATTTTATTTATCTATTTACTTTATTTCGTTCTATTTTTTTATTTTAAAAGTTCATTTGGTTATTAATTTCAACTCATTTATTGATTTTATTTCTTTTTTTTTAAAGTTTATTTATTTATCTATTCTATCTTATTATCTATAAGTATCTATTATTATCTTTATTTATTTATTTCATTCTATCAATCCTTTTATTTAATTATGTTATTTGGTTATTTATTTATTTAGTTATTTATTTAATTATATTATTTTTATTTATTTATTTCATTCTATCAATCCTTTTATTTAATTATTTTTATCCTTTTTTTTTATTCTTATTTTTTGGACCAACCATCCAAATAGTAGTATTATTTAGTTAATCGGCCGCTGATGACCTGGATTTTTTGCGCCTAGACATCGAAACAAACAACAACAACAAATACAAATAACTATTTACCGAACAATAGTCCGCCTGAAACTTTGTAAATAGCTTCATACCGTCGTAATCTATAAATATTTAATTTACAAAAATTCTAGGAATTGGGGCGTTTGAAATCTGGAGATCGCCAACTACGTACGTCTATTTAATTAGGTACTAAAAACTCGTAAGTAACCTTTTGCTTTCCATTTTAGCAACATAATTGAAAAAAAATGTGGCTTACATAAATATTCAGCCATTTGGCCCATACATCATCATTATTTTTACATTTTGGGGGTGTAAGTCACGCCAAACGGCTCAATATTTTTGAAGGCCACCTTTTTTTCTCGATTTTTCACTCTAATTATCTTAAGCAAGTGGAAAGCAAATGGGTATTTCCGATTATATAGTACATAATTAAATAGACAAAGTTTGCCGATTTTCAGATTGAAAACGCCCCAATTCCAAGAATTTTCGTAAATAAAATAGTTGTAGGTTACGATGTGATGAAGCTATTTACGAATTTTCAGGTGGATGTCAATAATTTGATAAAATGGGTTTTGTTTTGTTTTTTTATCACAGAAAAGTAAGGGTTGAAAATGTTTCGCCAAGCATAGTTTTTTAAATGATTTATCGTTGTTTAGTGTTAATTTTCAAGGTATATTCTTCTCTTGTTGATGATAAATCTTATAGCCGATGTTTTTTTCTTATAGGATCAGCTGAGAGTGGAGAAACAGAAGTCTGCAAAATTGGAATCTAAAGTTAACAAAATGGAATTAGAACGGGTCGGAAGAAACTACAGAAGACCCTCAGCCCGCCCGGATTCCCTCAGCAAATTCGAACTAGAGAACATGAAAGACCAGTAAGTATAATTGTAGTTACACGATCTCTAAACCATCGCGTAAGATATTCATTATTAAACTTTATAGATCAATATTATTGACCTACGCCATAGGCCTAGGAGGGACCGCATGTGGTATCTGTGACGTAGTTGCGGCCTCGGAGGCCACAGGCGAGCTTCAAATGTTTTTGCGCCATATTTATTAATCTAGTGCTAGAATTAATTAATAACTAATTATCTAAGTAATGACAATTTGAAAATTATTAGAATTAAGTTGAATGTGTATATGTACCCACATGTGTATTTAGTAATAAGTAAAAATAGCAACGTTAAAATAAAGAATTATTGCTGCTTCTATTTGCACTGCCTAACCTAACTGTGGCCTCTAATGATAATGAGGTTCCCCATCTATGGTAT